GTTTTATTCATTTTACTTCCAAAGAGTCCACAGTATTGTGCTTTTCTTATTGCTCCTCTAGCTGCTGACTTTGTGGTTCTTCCTCGTGTCCTCTTTTTAAAGATTTATTTACTTGAAAGAGCGAGCGGGGTTGGGGGGGGTGGAGTGCAAAGGGAGAAAGAATGATAAGCAGACTCCATGCTGAGCATGGAGCCCAGTGCAGGGATCAATCTCATGACCTGAGCCAAAAGCAAGAATCAGATGCTTAACTGACTGTGCCACCTAGGTGCCCCCCGCCACATCCTCTTGATCCTCTTTCCAACATTCTCTTAATGTTGATGAACCCCGGGACTCTTCCATCTATGCTTGGCAATAGCAAGTAGTCTTAAGGCCTCAAACATAAAACTACTGTTCATTTGGGTATTTAGGCATCGCACACCAAGCTCCTAGCGTTCATCTTTATCCCTGACTTTCCCATCTCTTGAAGCTTTCCCTGTGTTAGTCATTGTCAAGTGAGCGTGTCCTCTTGGCTGCTCTACCTTCCAGTTTTACCAATCGTACTGGTCCCACCACCATTCTGTCTCACTTGAATTGTTACAGTTAGCAGCTTCCTGCTCCTGGTTCCCTCCTTCACCTCCAAACACCTGGTCCATTCTCAAACCCTCACGGCTTCCCATCTTAATCAGATTCTAGAAGCCCAACTTCTTGCTCTGATTCCACGAGCTGGCTACTTACTTTATTAATCATACCAGGCATGTACCTGATTCAGGGTAGCTGGTTTTATTTTTACTCTTTCCTTCTGCCTGAATGCTTTTCTCACAGATGCCTAAATAGCTGCTCTCATGATCTGCATATCTTGAATCCAGTATCATCTTGGCCATTTATTTAAACCTGGATTCCCTTTCCCTGATGCTCCCTCTCTTTCTTCCCCTGGTTTATTTTTCTCTGTAGTACTTGCTACTATCTCGTACACTCTGTGTGTCACCTACATGAACTACCTGAATAATTGGATTTTGTCTGTTGGACCTACTTCTGTTATTTCAGGCACCTTTTATTTCTGGATGGTCAAGTGTTTTAAGTGAATGAACTGAGCTTGCTTGACAGGTTCTAGAAATAGCAAGGAGGTTGAGGGTAGAGCAAAGGGAATGGGAGACTAAGAAGAGGCGGAGTGGGGTGGGAAGGCAGTCATCTTTCCCAAGCATGTGAAGTCACTGAAGGTTTTAGAGCAGATTTAACTCTTAACATGCTGTGTGTGTTACTTACATTGGATTTCGTAAAATTCACTCCATCTAACAAAAGTGGAGTACCTAGTATGTGCCAGGCCCTGCATTGGGTTACAGAGATAAAAGGTTGACTTGGCCCCTTCTTTGACCTTCACAGTCTTAGGTGGTAGTACACCTTTTTAGACTGGGGTCTTTCCCCACATCCCAAGAAATAGCCTTCACTTGTCCAAATGGTTGAAAACTGTAGTGAAGTTGTTGCTTTTTCACATTGTTTAACTAAAAATATGAAATTCAAATGACTTTATATACCCTCATGTAGAACAACAAGTACTTAAGAGTTGGAACAGACATGAATTAATGACGTGCTGACACATGCCAAGAGCTTCATTGAATTAACTCTTGTTGAGAGGAAATGTGTACAGTTTTGGGCCCACCCCTATTCTTTAAGCCAAGACCAAGTTAATAATGAACCTTTGAATTAGTATTGAATGATGCTCAAAAACATGCCATGTCTTAAGATGTAATAGTCTGTATTTTGAAGTGAAGACACTTTCACAGTATGTATGTTTTATGTTCAAGCATATCCTATCATTAGCATTTCTTAGGATCAACTACAGAGCTTCTTTCCCACATCACTAAAAGTGGATTGTGCATTTTCTATGTCCCCAGTATTAATACTGGCTGCTGGGCATTATACTGTGGTGTAAAAGGGATTATTCCTATTTAAGGTTTGGCTTAGATTTTGTTTTATGAAAATAGGACAGAGCATGTTACATATTTTATTTAATTCATTTTTTTACTTTGACTCTCAGGGGTTTCAAGAAGCGTGCCCCTCGGGCACTCAAAGAGATCCGGAAATTTGCCATGAAGGAGATGGGAACTCCAGATGTACGCATTGACACAAGGCTCAACAAAGCTGTCTGGGCCAAAGGAATAAGGTGCTAAAGCTATTTGTTATAAATTTTTTTTTTTATAAAACATATAATTACATTAGCTTTTAACCAATTCTATACAGTCTATGTAAGTTCAGTAATTAGCTAATGCATATGGAAGTATTTCTTTAAAATGTGATGATGGCTTCAAAGGGTGGGGTAGCATCTGCAGGGAAGCCCTTTGATGTGGTATTGGAACGGAGACCCAGATGATGGAGGAGCCAGCAGTGTGAGGGTTGAGTAAGAGCATTGCACAGAGAACAAACTTGGTGTGAGCTGGGAACAGGTTGGTGAAAGTAGAGTAAGTTGGTGAAAGTAGAGAAAGTAGAGTAGAATAACAGGTTGGTGAACGTAGACTAGAATAAGATTTGAACAGTCAATGAGGATAGAGTTAGGAAGGAGATAGACCATGTGGCATCTTGTAGGTCATGGCAAAGAGGTTGGATTGATCTCTAGACAAAATGGGAAATCATTGGCACAGTTTTGTTTTTGTTTTTTTTTTTTAAACAGTGGGCAGTTTTGTCCACCCTCCCCCAGGGGGCATTTTTGGTGTCATTTCTGGGGATTGCCACAGGTCAGGGGCTTTGCTATATATCCCAACCCAATTTGTCAATAGTGTCAAGGTTGAGAAGTCCTGCTTATAAGCAGGGGTGTGGTTTTTGCTGTGGAGGATGATGTAAAGTGCTAGAGTAGACCTGGGTGATTTAGGAGGCTGGTGGAACTGTCTGCATCTGTGTAGTATTTCATCAGTGGGGTGAGAGGAGTCTGAGATTCAGCTTTACTGTGCTGGCATTGAGTATTCACACAGAGGAGTGTTTGATAAAGGAGTGGCCAAAGAGGTCCCTTAAGATGATGGGGGAGGTGGGGAGTGGCGTCACAAAAGCCGAAAGGAGTCCTCTGAGTTTTGGAATGCTTTGTGTCCTCAGAACAATAAAAGGAGATAGGCCACAATAATGCCACTGTGGTTTAGTGAGAGGAGAGGCTTGTGTGTGTAAGGTAGGGGAACTGAACAGTCTTTAGTCTTCTGTATTGAATGTAGCCTGCAGGGTGGTGTTTCTGCAAATCAGCACTGAACATAGAAAAATCCCCTAACAAAGATGGGGGTACTGGTGGTAAGAGGAGAAAGACCTAGCATGTTTGGGCCCATGTTGAGTATCAGCGGTTGCTGTCTGCTGAGACAGGTGTACATCCTGAGATGGTAGCATTTAACGTCCATCTGTGGCTCTGTATATTTTCCAGGGGGCTGGACCTGTAGTGCTTGAGCAGATTCAGATTCAGACAGAGCATTAGAAGCATGTTACAGACGGGGGGATAGGAGCTGTCAATACTGTTGGCAGCTGTTTTGATAGGAGACATTGACTTCAGTGGCACATTCATATTTTTATTAGGAATGTTCCATACCGCATCCGTGTGCGGTTGTCCAGAAAACGTAACGAGGATGAAGATTCCCCGAACAAGCTCTACACACTGGTCACCTATGTACCTGTCACCACTTTCAAAAGTAAGTTTTACTCCATCCTGCAAAGCTGTTTGGATTAAAAAAAGCCATCCTTACCCCTTTGAAAACCCGAATTATGTGTCTTAAATACTTAATTGTGCTTCTGTATGCCCAGCATCCTTTTAATAAGGAAATGGGTAACAGGCATAATCAATAAACCTTTGTGTCATGGTGTGAAGTGGAGGAGGATACGAAACAGGTCGATACCTCGGTTGTAAAAAGTTCCCAAAATACTAGCCGAAACCTTTAAGAAAAGTTTTTTGCAATGTTCAGGCATGAAGTGTGGTATGGAAGTTGACTGGCCATCTCTTCTTTTGCAGATCTACAGACAGTTAATGTGGATGAAAACTAATCGCTGATTGTCAAATAAAGGTATAAAACTGCTTTATGTTCTGATTTTCCTTTTATAGTTGTAGTATACAGTTGACTCTTGAAAAGCATAGAGATTAGAGGCACAGATTCCCACATAGTCAACTACCCAAAATTTACCGGTAAAGTAAGCTAGAGAAAAAAATATTAAATCATGAGAAAATATATTTACAGTACTCTATCAAAAAAAAAAAAAAACCCACATATAGGTAAGTGGAGCCTCATGTAGTACAAGAGTCAACTCTAAGATCTCTGCAGTTCCCAATTACATAGGATCATTTGGAGAGCTTTTCCTAAATGGCATGCCTGTGCCCCTTCTCCCCAGCCCCTGGGGTTTCTGAGCATTTGGGTAGAGCCTAAGCAGGTTTTCGAAGGTGTTATGGAAGTGCCGCCTGGCCTGAGAAAACATTTTAGGTATCTGGGACATTGGAGGTATACTGTTAATTCTAAGGAACATTTTTCTAGAGACTGGCATCTAGAACTCAATTATCAATTAGCATTGGCCACTGTTCACATTTGAACTTTAAGTGATGCAATTGATAGATTTAATGAAATAATATTTGGTAGTATAACCCTAAGCTGTTTGTATTAAGTATGCTTGTCTAAAGGTATAGAATAGTCTGATTTTTGATGGGTAACCAGATTATGGCTTAGGTGTACAATTCATACTATATGTACAGCTTACCTTTTTGTAATGGCCCCCTGAAGTGTTTTTAATCCCAGTTTACATGGACCTGAATCACAGAGGGGGGAAAATCAGCTAAATTCCGCCTGAAAGCAAAATGTCACAAGGATTAGATTTCTTTAGTGCTTATACCCCAACATACTGAATGTTGCTATAGAGAGGTCCCTCTTTGAAGCCCCAGGGGTGAGGGTGGTACGTAAGCACAGTGGGGGTTGAGGACCACCTACATTGTATAGCACAGCTCACGGAAAACAGACAAGGGAGTGGCAAGAGATCCTTCTAGACACAAGTACAAATTATAAGCAAGAACCAAGTCAATATAAAAATTTCTTTATTAAAAAACTTGGAGGCCAACATTGAAAGCATGGTTTGTACATATTTTTGGAAGGACAAAGTGAATACAACCAAATATATTAAAACGGTTTCAATTACCAGCATTGAAACAAAATTAGTGCAAAAAAGCCAAATACAATTGCACGGAGAGTGGCTCTTGGATCTTCAGAGTGAACTTGATATGTGACCTCTCCCATTATCCAAGTGAAAAATGAGAGCTTTTGTCTGTGGTTTAGTATACATCTGACTCTTCTATTCCATCTGAGAATGAAATCATACTAGCATCGCAGCAGAAGTGCCCTGAAATCTCAGCAAATCTGATAAAAGTGAAATCTGCAAGTCACAGCATCAAGGGAATTAATGTATGGATACCCTATAGCTCTGGTAATATCCAACTAATAATTCTCAAAGAATAAATAGAGATGCTTGAGGGTTGCATCAATTCCCCTGGCCACAGCTGTGACTGTCAGGTTGCTTATCCAGATACCCAATTTGTGTAAAATACACTCAGAATGATTTCGACTAAAATCTGGATTTTAGGGCTGACAACCCACAAAACTGTTCGTGCTTTGGTATGGCAGACTCCCCTCCACAAACTGCTCTCTTGCTACAGGTTACCCAGCTTGAGTTCAGGCTGTGATTGGCGGCTCATTTCCAGAGTTTTGAGACTGTACTGATTGATCTTGGCATTTTCAAGTTTGGATTTAATATCCAGTGGCTTTTCAAAAAAGTTGACTAGTGACTGTTCAGTCAGAAGTGAAGCTAAAATATGTTCAAGGGACACAGTCCAGTCCCCTTCTGCCTCTTCAGGAAATGTCTGGGAGTCCTGGGCAGTCCTCCCAGGGCTGGCATCTGCAAAAACCGAGTCCTGCTCTGGAAAAAGAGCTGAAGCCCGCAGCTCCTCCCCACATTCCTGGGAGCAGCTTCCAGAGCTGCTACTTCGCTGCCCCACTTCCCCGATCTGCAGCAGCAGAGTGGTTACCGTGGCAATGGCTTGATATAAATCATTTTCTTCTGGATCTTCATGGAACATACTGTACAGAGTCTTACAGAACTGGATAAATTCTCTCTGGAATTAAAAGTATATATGGCAGCATAACCAGGATGGAAGTAGAATGCATTTTTTTTTAGACCTCATACTAAGTTCTTAGAGAAAACCACATCATACCATTAGAAGCAGATTATAAGGAAAAGTAGTTTTGCCCTTCTACTCGGAGAACATACTACCAACAGTGACTCCAGGGACTTTCACCACACACTCAGAAGTGGGCTCTTTGTCTATACAGCAACTATTCAGAAAGGTGTGTATCCTAGAGGACATGGGCACCCTTTAATCTTATAAATCAGCCTGTAGAGAGGGATCCAGAAGCTGTGGAGATTTGTTTATAATGATCTTTAATCTTGGATTTACAATAGAAAAAAGTTGGAAACAGCTTAAAAACTGTGACTAAATTAGAGCTTTTTCATCTGATAGGAATATGACGGGGTAACTAAAAGCTGTAAAGTGAAATAATGAAAACAGTGATGCCTGATGAATTTCCAAGTTGTATCCACACTGCTGCTCAATTAGAGAATCCGTATATAATGCGATGGAACACACTTCCAGTGGGATTTAGCTGTATATTTATGCTGGGAATAGGGTCATGGTTGAGAACTGAGTTTTAGGAGAGATCTCCATGATTTTGAAGTAAATGAAAGCAAGGTGTTAAGACAGCCTATTTTTTGTTTATAGTAAAAACTGATATCACATATATCAGAATATTAGTGCTGGTGGCTCTGGGGGATGAGATAAGATTTGACCTTTTTTTTAATTGAGGCATAACTGACCAGCAGCTTTGAAATGTGACTATATCCAAGAGATAGGATGAAAATTTGAAACTCCCCAACACTTCTGAATATTCCAGGAGGGTGTTAAGGCCACATGTACTGTGGTCAAAAAAGACCCAAGAAACACTACATTGCTAAATTCCATTCTTGAAGGCTCACAGTACACATTAGCACCAACAGACTGAAATCCTTTAATAAAGGACCATTTCCAACTTGGATCCTACATTCCACAAACTTTGGGGGTAATCTTTTTCAAATAAAAACCTAGCACCAGAGGCACTTGGGTGGCTCAGTGGGTTAAAGCCTTTGGCTCAGGTCATGATCTCAGGGTCCTGGGATATAGCCCCACGTCATTGGGCTCTCTGTTCAGCAGGGAATCTTCTTCCTCCTCTCTCTCTGCCTGCCTCTGCCTACTTGTGATCTCTGTCAAATAAATAAGTAAAATCTTTAAAAAAAAAAAAAAACTAGCACCATCAGGGCACTTAAATACAGTCTAGATACTGTTCAAAGGTTTCAAAGAGCTTTACCAGTACTGTATATTATAGTACCAATGATTTTTTAAGAAACTGAAGAGAGAATAGTAATCCCTTCTAAGGGAAGAATGCTGTGTCCACAGTACCCTCCACCCCCAAATGCTATCACCTCTAGGCAGTAAATCTTCATCGCAACCTAGGTGAATATAGGAGGAATAGGATATAAATACTTGAAAGATAGGATATGGCACAGCTGCCCTTTGTGAAGTGTTTAGAATATCTTGTGTATCTGAATGAATCACAATTCAAATATTTCCCTTGTAATCACAACATTCAGCTCCTGTAAGTTGTATAAGGTCCTTTGATTATTGCTTTAGAGGTCGAGGGGCCCAGCTTAACTTTATCAAGCTCGCCCCTGAACAAATAACTTGGCACAACAGTTACCTCTGCAGCTAAGTCCATACCTGGCTCATTTTGGGCAATTCTTTCTCAGTTTTATCTTTTTCTTTGGCTAAATCCTTAATCATTTGCTTCAACTGTTTCTGGTAATCAGTTGTATCACCTGGAGACACAGGAAACACAATATATACTTTAAGCTAAAATTCAGTTAAAGCAAAAAAAGAACACCTTTAGAACTGGGTGGTGAGGAAGGAATCCCACCAAATTTCATACACAAGCTGAAAATAGAGATTACATTGGTGACAATTTGTTTTACAACTGACCATGAATGGAGTGTGGTGGCTGGATGACTTCTCACTGCAAGAGAATCCTTGAAACCCTAAGCAAGAGGAACAAACATGGTGTAGGGTCAAGGGGCAGTCACCCAGTATACTGCAACTTGAAAGGTTTCTGGCCTCTGAAAGCAGTGGGCTGTTGACTAGGTTAAGTCTGCTTCTAAGAGCTGTGAAATTGTTAATGATTGCAATGTATGCCTGCTGCAAGATAATGAAAAGAAGTACATACCATTTGACTTTCCAAAAACTAGGGGTCTTGACGTTGACAATAGAGGATTCTTTAATGGTGACTGGCTGTCTCGATCATTTTCAGTGAGTGCTTTAAAAAAAAAAGTTACATGGAACAAATTATTTCATCTTACTTAACCCAAACTCAGTAATTTAGTTTCTTATGTAAGAAAGGACAAAAGAAGGGCTAAGCCCCCAGCCTGTGGGTTGCAGAGACTGTGAACCCAGGCATACACCAAGCACAGTCTATACAAAGAGTAAAGAAAACATCTTACAGACCAGATAATGCCTTTTTCTGGCTTTATGTAGATACTGTCTTAATTAATGAAATACAGAATCACAGGACACTGCCAATACTGACCTGGAAAACTGTAGTAAAATCCTTTCCTAAACCTTAAGATCTATGTATGTATATACATATAAATTTTAGAAATAAATGTACAACTAAATTTCTGGATGATGGGGTAATTTTCAGTTTCATGGCATTTTTTTTCTACAGTGAGCACATACTGCTATATTTAATAAATTTTCAACAAAAATTGAAAAAGAATTATTGAATCCAAAGCATTTTATCATTATAAGTTTTCTTGAAATATACAAAAACACAGAACATTATATTGCTGATAATATAAAATGGCACAGCCATTTTGAAAAAAAAAGTCTGGCAGTTTGTTAAAAAGCATAGAGTTACCATTTGACCCAAAATTCCACTCTAACATACTACCAAAGGGAAATGAAAACATACCCAACTCAGAAACTTGTACACAAATATTTATAGGAGCATTGTTCACAAGGGCCAAGAAGTGGCGACAAACCCAAGTGTCCGACTGATAGATTAGGGCATACCTATCAAATGGACTATCAAATGCATTTATAAAAGGAATAAGCACTGGGACATGCTACAACATGGATGAGCCCTGAAAACACGGGAGCATGACACAAAATGGCACACTGCATTATTCCATTTATAAGGAATATCCAAAAATAGGCAATTCTATAAAAAAGGAAAGCAGGGCAAAATGGGTGGATTGGGAGCAAAAGCCAAAGGGTATGGACCTTGTTAGGGTGATGAAAATGTCCAAAACTATGACGGTTATATACAAGATAACAAAATCACTGAGTTGTGTATATTTTAAATGAATGTACTGTATGGTATGTGAATTATAGATCAAAAAGCTCTTACAAATTACAAAGTATTATGGACTCAGGATCTTCATATTTACTAATAAATCAGCTGTAATCCAACAAATATCCCCAAGATGGCACCAAAGCCTTGATAAGCTGATCTTCATATTTGGGAGATAGGTTTCCTGTGTTCGGTGGGTAGGAACTGTTTGTGGAGTTTGGGGGTTTTTCTGTAACTGATAATAAGTCATTTTACCAACCTTGTATAAAACTTACACACATTGGCACATGTGAGCATCCACTCAAACTGTAAGCCCTGTATGGTCATTGGGGCAGTCATGATGAAAACAGTTTTTAGGTAATAACTGCTAGATGTCAAGAGGATACTGGGTCCCTATGCCTCAGAAATGTGAAACGTATACACAAGTCACTGACAAAATGCTCTAACAGAAGAACCAATATAACCAACTGTCTTGGGAGCATAGCAAGGAATGGTTAATTCAAGTGGAGAGCAAGTGTCCAGAAAGGCCAACCAACCACAGAGCAGCACACTTTTCAAGGAACCCTTGCGCACGGTTGGCGGGAAAGCAAATATCCAGCCACTGTGGAAAACAGTATCAAAGAATAAAAAATCTACCCTATGGTTCCAGTAACTGCGCTACGGGCATTTACCCCTAAAATACAAAAGCATTAAATCAAAGGGTATATGCACCCCTATGTTTATTGCAGCATTTTTGGCTATTACAACAGCCAAACTATGGAAGCAGCCCAAATGTCCATCTGATGAATGGACAAAGATGATGTGGTATACAAATACACATACACAGAATATCACTCAGCCATAAGAATGAGATCTTGCCATCTTATTGTGCAATAGCACATGATTTCACTCAGATGTGAAATTTAAGACACAAAACAAATGAACAGAGGGGTTGAAAAAGACAAACCAAGAAACAGACTCTTAACTATAGAAAACAAACTGGTGGTTACCAGAGGGGAGGTAGGGGAATGGGTGAAGTAGGTGATGGGGATTAGGGGTACCCTTCTCATGGTGAGCACCAAGTAATGTACAGAATTGTTGAATCACTCTGTTGTACACCTGAAACTAATAAAACACTTTAGGAAGATAAATAAAAAGTTAGAATTCCATCTTTACCATCTTTGTGATTTTTCTATAAATCTAAAAGTTATCCCAAAATAAAACGCTTATTTAAAAATCGAGATGAAATAATAGAAATAAAATCAAATCCTGTTTAGCAATATTAGATACAGACAATGATTGTGAATATGCTTGTCTTCTATGTTAGTAGGAAAACACTTGTGAAAAATAAAGGCAAATTAAAAAAATAAACTCGGGAGCACCTGGGTGGCTCAGTGGGTTAAAGCCTCTGCCTTCAGCTCAGGTCATGATCCCAGGGTCCTGGGATCGAGCCCCACATTGGGCTCTCTGCTCAGTGGGGAGCCTGCTTCCTCCTCTCTATATCTGCCTGCCTCTCTGCCTACTTGTGATCTGTCAAATAAATTAATAAAATCTTTAAAAAAATAAAAATAAACTCACTAACACTGGCATAAAAGGCAAAGAACTTCACTAATGCCAAACCATTTGCAGTTGAGGAATAATGAGTCTGTGGGAAGGCAGAGGAAGAAGGCTGCAACAGAATGCTCCCGGGGCACACTGCAGTTGTCCAGTTGGTAATGGCTCAGTTTCAGGAAGTGGACCAAGAAAGCCACAAATGATGGTCATATGCATTTTCAACTTTTCCAGAAGTGTTGGTTGTAAAAACCACCAGGATCTCATGGCCCCAAAAACTTTCCTAGCCTCCCTCATTGGAAGTTCTGTCAGGGGCCCTATCCAACACCAGAACCATGGCCCTGGGGTCCAGAGACCATGTCTGCATTACTAACCCACCTCTGTGACTTCAAAAGATCCAAGGAATAAGGTTAAGGCCAAGTATGACATCATAGGTTTCAAAACTGTTTTCTTTGTTCCCGGTTACCTGCTGAAACTTGAGGGAAGCATGGATTTAAATGCCAGAAGAATGAAATGGTCCTTCAAAAGAGGAGGCTTAAATAACCATCTATTAAGGCAACCAGGGTCTATTTCCCCACACACTCCACAAGCCAGCGGTTACCAAAGTGTGGTCCTCAGAACCAGGGAGCTGGAAACACTGGAGCGGCGCCCAGGATCCTGGGTTTTAACAAGCCCCCCAGATGATTCTGATGCATGCTCAAGTTTGGCAACTGCTGTCATAGGCCATACAGCCCAGTAATGAAAATTTGTTATCTGCAACCCCAGATTAAAAACATCTGTTGACTCAAGTCTAAATGGAATTTTAAAAGAAGAACTTCAGAGTCACATACAAGGCTTACTTGAGTCAAAGCAGAACAGAACTTAGATTTTCTCCATAGAATTTCTTACCTGGAGGGATATGAAGTCTATATAACAGTTTGATTTTCTCATTCATTTCTCCATTATACATAACATCTGCAAAAAAAAAAAAAAAAGATTGAGAGAAAATGAGATGCAAATGGATAAAGTACATTTGTTGTGACACAACCTCACTGTGGGGAGAGAACTTAGTACGATCAGTACTTGTTCACTCAATACTTCGCTGCCCTTACTCCTAGACACAGAGTGTTTGAAATGAAAACAAGAAAAGGTCACTCTTGAAATGCAGGATAACCTCGTGAATTTTGTCTGGCCTCATACCTTCTGAAAGATTTTAAATTCATGGGCAGGAGTCAGGAATACAGCCCCTAACGAGCCACACCACACCCTGGGCGCCCGAGGAGAACGGGAGCAATGATCCTGTGGTTGAGAGCTTGGGCACTTCTCACTCTCCTTAAGGAGGCATAAATGTCATCATAAGAGGAGCCTGCAGAGTGGTTTCTAAAATCTCCAAATCACATCAGGCCAGTCCCAAATACATTTCAATACATTTCACTGCGTGGGGTCTGCCTGCTCCACAGTCCACCCTGTTCTTGTGTTCACAGACTCCCGTCCCAGATTAACTCACTGCAGTGAAGACCCACAGGGCCCTACCGAGACAGCTCACAAATGCTTTGAATTCGATCAGGTGGTCCATGTTGTCATCCAGGAGCCTGAAAGTCCTCTCTGCGAGGATTTCTGTGTGGGCCCCACAGGTCCAGGGCGAGACAAGCTGAAACAAGTGTGCGAACTGCCGGGCATCTATGCGGTACTGCTCTGCGTAGGGCCTGCTGGGGTCGTGGCGTGGGGCCATGGGCCTGGGCTGCTCCCAGTAACAGCTCATCATGTGCTCTCTCTTGAGACAAGAGGGAGAGAGGGATCTGTGAGAGATGGGGGCACCTGTGGGGGGATGCACGCTTAAAAGCCAGAGTTAACTTGGCCTTCGTTCAGGACTCACTTGGCCTCGTAAATTATGTATTGAATAAGAACACTATAACACGAACAAATGCAAAAAGTGCTTACAATCTCATTACTCTAACCAGACAAGTAAAAGACGTCCCTTGTTACCTTGTTACCTTACACTTCATGCCCATATGTAATTTTGACCTCTTTCTCTAAGGTCTTTTTTTTTTTTTTATTGGAGCACATATCTAACAAAACTTAACCATTTTAACCGTTTTTCAATGTTCAGCTGCCATAGTTTTAATTCTAGGAGACCTAATTTTTATTCTGCTGTTTTCTCATCAAATCACATCTGAAAACAAAAAAGTGCTAGACTGATCTATAGATTACAGAAGAAACCAGTCGCCCTGGTTGCCTGTGGGGAGGGGAAACAGGGGTGGAGACTCACATGTAGAACCAAGTCTCTTTTAAGATTGTACTATTTGAGAGAGCGCACCCACAAGCAGGGGGTAGTGGCAGAAGGAGAGGGAGCAGCAGGGTCCCCGCAGTCCCAGATGTAGGACTCGATCCCAGAACCCTGGGATCATGACCAGGGCTGAAGGTAGACACTTAACCAACTGAGCCACCCAGGTGCCCCAGAACCAAGTTTTTTCACTGCATACTTTCTTCTAAGTTTTGAATTTTGAGCGAGGTGAATATATTAACAATTCAAAAAACTGGAAGTTAAAAAAAAAAAGTGATTCCAAGTCTTGGGAATACACTGACAACCAGAGCACTCAAAACTGGCCCTTCCCTGAGGGTCCCCTCTTTAGGATGCATCTCTTACACCCACGCTAAATCACCTCTTGGGACATCGCGACTCACTGAGATAATTCCTAATGACTGCAGACTTCTGCACGATTTTAGCATCCTCCACCCATCACGGTGGCACGGGAACAAGTATAGAAGCTGTAATATGTGAACGCAGATCCCTGGATGAAAACCAAAATGCCACTTATAGTTTTACTGTTGTATTTGTTGGCAGCCTAGTTCTGCGGGTAGCCTTCGCAGAATTGTGAAAAATACCACAAGAACTTTCAGTGTGAAACAACAGTCCAGTGAATTTCCATTCCTAAAAATTCAAGAGACACTGAGAAAGTCCATTGTATATCTGTGTATCCTATGATACTAAAGCCCCACAGAATCCTGCCAAGAAAAGTTGTAATAAATAAGCCTAGGACTTGTGCAACCAGTTTACACAGAACCCTACAGAAAAACAAACCGATAAAAAAAAAAAAAAAAGACTATGGATGTAAGCAGGTGATACCAAGAAGTACACAATTAGCTGTAGTCAACCCCACGAATGGATAAACAAATTAAAATTAAAACAAAATGCAATTTTCTACAAGACTAGCAAAATTGCAAACGATTCTTAATAAAAGCTGGGTGGGTGTGGAATGTAGGACAGGAGCCCTCTTGGACAACATCAGTGTATTCCCATGGAAGTGAAATTTGAAAAATCAAACACCCTTTAGCAATACAGGCTAAATACAGTCTGTGCATCCCTAGGACCCCATCCCACAGAAACTGCAGCACTGGTGTCCAGGGAAAGGCACAAAGATGCTCAGTCCAGCACAGTTTAACAAAGCCGCAAAAACCTGGAAACATAAATGTGTCTCAACAGGTGACTGGTTAAGTAAATGATGGTTCAGCCCTACAATGAAACTATACAGCTATTTTTCCATGTAGCATAATCTGTCATAGGTGGGAGGGAAGGTGTGTCTGAGAGAGAAAGTATAAAAGGAAAAAAAAAAATCAGGAAACATATTCACCAATTTGTTAACAATAATTACCAGTACAAAGGTAAGACTGTAGGTACAGACAGGATGAGACCCTTTCATTTTTGGCTTAAAAGTTTCTTCTTTTTTTTTAAATGGTAAGAGTCAGTAGACTTTTATTCTTTATTTTGTGATTTTTAATTAAAATTTGAAAATAAAAGTCTTTTTTTTTCCCCAAAGATTTTATTTATTTATTTGACAGAGAGAGAGAGATCACAAATAGGCAGAGAGGCAGGCGGAGGTGGGGAAAGCAGGCTCCCCGCTGAGCACAGAGCCCGATGTGGGGCTCGATCCCAGGTCCTGGGATCATGACCCGAGCTGAAGGCAGAGGCCTAACCCACTGAGCCACCCAGGTGCCCCTGAAAATAAAAGTCTTAACCAGAACATGTAAGCAAGTAAAATATTATTAAAGAGACCCAATGCTCTCTAAGGCCTGGTAATTCACAAAGAGTGAAAGAATTTAACTGATCATTTAATAACAGCAGGTTTATGGAAGACATAAGTAACTGTTTCAGGTCTTTGGTGTTTCCAGAAGTATTCTAGGACACTGAGTATGTATTACACTGTAAACATCTTACTTAGTTAAGATTAATGATGTTGTTTTCAATTTAAGAGAATAGAAGACAGACATCACAAATCCGAATTTACATAATTTGAGACTGTTCAACACGGATGGACCATGAGGACACTCCTGCTAAGTGAAAGAAGTCAGACACGTACTCTATGATCTCACTTATATGTAGAATCTAAAAACAAAACAAAACCCAAACTCAGAAAAAGAGATCAGAATTGTGGTTCCCCAAGGCCGGGGTGAGGAGTGGGGGCACTGGAGGAGGTGGACAGAAGGTACAAACGTCTGGTTAGAGTAAGCACTAGGGATGTGAGGTACAACAGGACGAGTACAGTTAATGGCTATATGGTGTATTTGAGTTGCTAAGAGAATGGATCCTAAAGTTATCACAAGGGGAAAAAAAAATTTTTTTTAATGTCTAGAGGAGATGGATTCTAATTAAACTTATTGTACTCATCACTCAACAGTATATTTAAGTCATACTATATGCTTTAAACTCACAGTGCTGTATGTCAGTTATACACATGAAACTGGAAGGAAAAAGTTACATTTGAGCATTAAAAAATTGCTTTAAATTACCAATAAAAATAGATTTCATTAAGTACCAACCATATTGTTGATCTTGAATATGAAAGAATGCATAATGAATTTGGTCAGAGTTACTTGCTCTTAACACAAAGTGATCACACCTGTTCATTCCGGGCTTAGGGAAGGATACAATGAGGTTAAGGAACAGAATCCTTATTAATAACCTATCATGTATTTATAAAACAATGGAAGGGTATCGCTATGTGACCCTTTCCCTGAAAAAATGAAATTCTAGTTGAAAAGACCAGAAGTAGTGGCACCTGTGTAGCTCAGTCAGTCAAATGTCCAAATTTTGGTTTTGGCTCAGGTCATGATCTCAGGGTCATGAGATAGAGCCCCAGGTTGGACTCCATGCTCAGCATGGAATCTGCTTGAGATTCTTTCCACCTCTCTTTCTCCTCCCATTTTGCTGCTCTCCCCACTTGTCTTTGCTCTATCTCTGTCTCTCAAATAAATAAAAATAAAATCTTAAAAAAAAAAATAGACAAGACCAGAGGTGTATTTAAAACCCAACTAGAGGGGCACCTGGGTGGCTCAGTGGGTTAAAGCCTCTGCCTTCGGCTCGGGTCATGATCCCGGGGTCATGGGATCAAGCCCCGCATCGGGTTCTCTGCTCAGAGGGGAGCCTGCTTCCCCCACCCCTCTCTGCTTTCCTCTCTGCCTACTTGTGATCTCTGTCAAGGAAATAAATAAAGTCTTAAAAAAAAAAAAAAAAACATGAAGTCAGACTATGAAAGCAAAGAAAATTCAGAGCTGACCAGGAGTATGGAGAGAGAGGATAGTCTGATGGGGCTCTTACATGGGACACATGCAGACTCTGGCCCTGGAAAGAAAGTACTGGAGTGAGTTACACAAATCTATTATACAATATATTGTATGTAACACAAATATACTGTATATAACATAATACAATATATTGTATATAACACATATATTATACACTTTGGATGTATAATGGAATCAGACAGCATGATTATGAAGCTGTTTTACTGGAATTTCCTCTGGAAGTGTATCTTAAAAATTATATTGTATTTAGATAGTTTCTAAGTTTCTCTTTGTAGTTAGTCTACATAAATGAAAGAGTTGTAAAGCTAACTACAAATAAAATTTCAATAAGTACTTAACATATCATTCATAGGAAAGACAGAAATAGGAAAACAGTAGGCTCTATCTTCCTTACTCTTTGTATTAAAGATGAACATGGTTAGTACTTAATGAACTTTACTTATATTAATTTAAATCAATCTTCTAAATTATATAAATTCGGATCTGTGAAAGCTCTTATTCTCTCAAACTGAGAGCAGTTAGCCTTAGATAGATGAAATACTTTTCATGCTGAACAACACATTTGTCTACCTGTCTTTATGTTCCTAGCATTCCCTGTTTTATTTCCTTGAAAGTCAAGGAGAGAGAGGTGGGGACTTGGGACACTTTGACTTCTCAGTTTTTCTTCATGAAACAGAGGAAACTATGAAACTGAAAGACAGGGGCTGTTTTACAGAAGACACAGTCCTGAGCAGTCCTCTCAGCACACATCCTGCTTATCAGGAACAAGGGGTGCCTGGACTCTACTAAGCCAAGGCCATTTCAGTGACTGCGGGGAAATGGGCCATGACAGATGCACGCCCAGTTCAGACAACCTCGAGTGCTCCACTTAGAAGTCCCTGAAGTGCTGCTTCTTACTATGTCCATCAGTTTACACTCTGGGTTCAGAAGTGACAGTAGCTCAGAGTCCCCACCTGGAAGAGCCCTGGAAGCCAGACCCAGAACTTGCTTTCTCCAACTCTTCTGTCTCCCCCTTCACTGCCAGGCTATCAGGAGTGGAGCAGTTGCCTGCCTTCCTTCCCTGTTTTTATCCACTGTTTCAAGCAAGGAAACTTCCAGCAGGGCACCTGAAAATTTTCTTCATTGGGCAAGACCTGAGTGTTCACCTATATATCCAAATATTAAAAATATGGCTTATTTAGTATTACCAATATGATAGATTATAAGGTAATTTTAAAATGAGTAAGACTACATGGCAACATGGAAAAGTGTTAATAACAGTATTAAGGGAAAATAGAAGATAAAGTGGCACCCGTAGCAGCCAAATATAAAAATTTATCTACATGTATTATGGGGGGGTATGAGTTACTACAAAGTATAGGAGGTGGGAATGTCAGTAATGGTCACTGTTTATCCACCGAGGCCTGGGAACTCCATGTAGAACAGCATGGAACGGGTTACCAGCATCGAAGGAGGCCCTCTGCAGAGCACAGCTCCCGTGTGGGCCATAGGCAGGCGAGACCAAGATGGAGCTGGCAGGTGGGGTAAGCTCCAGCCTCTGCTGCCACCGCACAGATGCGGCAGACCCCTCCAGCATCCGCGTACTCACCTACTCCCGCAGCCCTCCCCCTGCCAACCCCTGACCAGCTGACAACCTGTCACTCCCTCATCTTCCCAGAGTTTCCTACCTTGAATAAGTCGTAGAGTTCTTCCAGGTCTTCAGGAAGAATGGAGACTTCTGGGATAACAACGCGGAGCTTGAGAAAACAACCAACAACAGTGGAGTGAGTTCTCTGCCTGAACCCAGAACGATCAGAGGGAACAGGGGTCTCTTCTGCTCGTGGGGGACACCAGGTGTGTCCTATCTACCTGAGCAGTCTGTTCCTTTCTGATGCCAAGATGACGTCATGGTAACTTTCTCAGGATGTTTACCCTTAGCCTTTCCAATTCACACATCAGTGCCTCGGGACAAACGGGTAAGCTCTACACTGAGTTCTAAGGGAAGTCGAACTCTAACAAAGACGCAGCTTGGCCAGGCAGTTCCTCCTGAAGAACAAGCATTGCGGGCCTCTGTGCGAGGCATTTTTCTATTTCGTACCTCATTTAGTCCCAGATGCTAGGTATTAGTATCCTCTAGTGTCCTCTTAGTATTGTTTGACAACTAGGTAAACTGAGGCTCATGGGGACTAAATTGCTCACAGTCTATCTGACTCTAAAACCGCTGTTTCTACACCAGGTCACCCTAATTCAATGCATGGTTGGGGGAGTGGCATTTTTTTTTTTTAAGTTTATTTATTTTTGGTAATCTTTACACCCAACATGGGGTGTAAAGTTAGGTGTAAAAATCTTTACACCCTACATGGGGCTCGAATTTGGGACCCCAAGGATCGAGTCATATACCAGCCAGGTGCCCCAAAAGCTTGGGCATTCTTAGGACCAACCGCAACAGAGTCTGGGTTAGCGCCCACTGCCCTTCCGACAGCCCGTGACTCACCACATTCTGCTTTGTGGTGTCTTCGTGGCCCTGGAGAACCCTGATCCTGTGCTTACATCGCAGGTGCTCAATCTGCTCCACAGACTGGTCTCCGAATTTCTGCAGAGAAACCAGGAGTTACACACCCACAGAACCCCTTTTTGCACAAACAGAGGACAGCAGTATCCGCCAGGAAACCTCCCTCAAAATCCATCCCTGACCAGGTTTCCCAGAGGATGTGGGTGGGGCCGGGCCCTGTCACCTCGTAGGAGTCCCGGATCAAGTCAGCAATGTCAGTCCCAGGGTAGGGCTCCTGGTCGTCCGCGAAAAAGGCATGGTGGCTGCCGATGGGGGGTCCAGGACTGTCCTCGTTCTTAACATGATCTAGAAACCTGAGCACACAACCCACCACTGAAGTACCGGTTTCCCCTCCCCTGTGCACCACACCATGCACCTTCCTGGGGACCCGGGGGATATCATGTCAGAGCACTTTCAGACGCAGCTCATTCATCTCCAAACCCTGGGAGGAGGGCGAGATAGCAACTGCTGTGCTCCCTTAGAGAAAAGGAGACATGCCTAAAGCCAGGCTTGTTGATCTGGGCCCATGGGTAGGTTTGCAGGGACCCGGAACTCTGCTGAAGTCCATACAAAGTTCCATGCGTACGTGCCATTGTAAGCTTCCGTGTTCCAAACGGGAACCTGTCCTCAGCTCCAAGAGACCCAGGTTCCGGTCCTTGGTCTCAGGGACTGTAACACACCAGCCCCTACACATCCAGGGTCTGGAATCTCCAGCTGGCTGCCTAAGACCTTCATCTCCCAATGCCTGCCTGCCCCAGTCAAGGCCACTGTGAGTGCCTATCTCCTCAGAGACAAGTGAGAGTCCCCGCTCTCCTCCTGTACCCTCTCTCACTTGCTGGACAGGAGCCAGGAAGATGGCGCTCTTCACCATATGCGGGCAACAGTGCCACCTGACTGGACTGACTCTGGTGGGGGCGGTGGGGACTACCGCGTGACAAGTGGCAGAGTGGAAGGAAATATTCCACAGAGACAGCCCTGCTGGGCACCCCCTGCTGCCTCCACCTGGTCTATTTTGCAGAGCCCGCAATGGCCCTCCTTATCTCACCCCCCTCCCCCGCCCAGTGAGCGCACCTGCTGAGGACCATGAGGGCCTGGCCATCATCCTTGCTGCTGCACAGGCCCTGGGCATTGGCTTCCAGCACCGCCAGCCCCAGCTGGAAAATGGCTTTGATCCCGTCGTAGAAGAAGCAGTCCACAACGCTCACCGCGCTCTCCAGAGGCATAATGCTGAGGAAGAGAGTCAGGAACCAGGAGAGAGAGATGGAGGCCAGGGCCGAGAGGTCGTTCATATGCTCCGCCAGCTCGGGGAGATGCTCCTTGATGAGCTCCTCAAAGACCGACTGGTCCACCTGGGCCCCTGGAAAAGGCAGGTCATGGAGACTTGGTTGGGGAAGGAGTCACACTTCGAAAGTCAGCCTGAAACTGAAACTACTCTGAGATAAGCAGAATGAAACAGAATTTGAGCCCAGAAAAGGACTTGTACTGAACTGACTTTTGACACTAACTAGAGTAATTCAAGTGGGGAGAGGACAGTATTTTCAAAAATAATGCTCAATCAAGTGCATACCTGTGTGGGGGCAGAGGCTGGGGGGACCTCAAATCCTACTTCACATCATACAAGAAAATATATTTGAAATGTGTCATAGACCTCAATATAAAAGCTAATAATATAAAGCTTAAGAAAAATACAGGGAAAAGGCAACATTTCTTAGAACACAAAAAGCACTAGCCACAGAAAAAACTATAAATTGGACTTCACGAGAATCAGAGTGGTATTCTTCAAAAAAACATTAATAAAAATCATAATGCACACTTCACACTGAGAAAAATATTTGTAATACATATACCCGACAAGGGCTTTGTATTCAAAATAACAACTCTTGCAACTTAGTGGTCAAAAACCCATTTTTCCTTTAAAAAGGCAAAAGATGGGACCAGATACTTCAAAAGAAACAATAAACAAATGGCCACTAAGCACAGAAAATTGTGTTCAGTATCATTCATCAAAGAAATGCAAAGTTAAACCTGCACAATAGATTCCTTCTTCGCTGCTAGAAGAGCAAACTTAAAAAGCCAATTCTGAAAGCTAACAGGGATGTGAGCAACCAGAACTCACACACTGCTGGTAGGGTTTCTGTGGTCACAGTATATCACTTTGAAAAACTGACAGTTTCTTATAAAGCTAAAAATCCCTCTAACCTATGACCTAGCAATTCTACTCCTAGGTAAATACCAAGAAAACGGGCAATCCTGATTCACAGAGAGACTTACACTTGAATGTGTATTTCAACTTCACTTACAATAAAGCACTGGAAACAATGCAGACCTCTAACAGGTGACCAGATAAATGAATCACGGTCTGAGTGTACGGTGAAGTGGGACTCAGCCAGAAGAAGGAGCAGAGTACCAATGCTCCAGCAACCTCGTATTTTGAGCAGGAAAACAGACCCAAAAGAGTGTGTTCTCCATGATTACATTTAGACCGAGTTCAAGAATGGGCCCAACTAGCCCGTGGTGACAGACATCAGGAGCGAGAGTTGCCTGTGGCAGGGAAGGAGCAGAAGGGGACTTGGTGGGTTATGGAAATGCTCCAGGCTGTACTGGGGCAGTGCTCACATAGGGATACCCATTACCACGGAGGCTCTGCTGGTCACTGAGGAGTAGGGTAGGCACTGCCCCCCAGCAGCACCATCAACCAATGGCGGCTTTGGCAGCCTGCCTCCCCATGACCCTGAGGCTCTGATGATTCTGTGCTATTGTGTACAAGGTTAAGCTGCCTCCCCCAGCATCAAGTGGAAAGGGAAGGAAGCCCATCACTCAGGCACCTGGAGGGAGCCAGGGAAGACAGTCTAAGGCATCCCAAAAGGCCACCCAAGGCACCAAGTGGCACATCCTTCCTAGACAGCCCCCTCTTACTCCCAGGGGGTCCTCACATTCCCTCAGTTCTTGACACCAGTCTTCGGGAGCATCTTCCTCCTGACCTGCCCCCACCTCCAGTCTTTTACCAAATTCTGTCTCAAACTGGTTCTTTCGTTTCTGTTCCCACTGCTGCTGCCCAAATTTTAGGGCACCTCCAGAAAGGGTATCTTGAGAGTTATCAGCAAGCTGAAGCAACGTTTCTATCATTTTGTCCACTAGGAGGTGCTGGACCACAGGCGAAATGCAGATTCCAATGGGCCACAGAAAAGGAAGACAGCAGGTGGGGTCGCAGGTCAGCCCAGAGCAGGGGGGCCAGCAACAAGGGGCCTTCTCACTTATTGTATACAAGTAGAGGGGTGGGGGGTCCCAAGCTGCCCTTCAGGTCCAGCCTCAAGAGTCTCCACAAGGGAAAGGGGACATCTGTCTGCGTGAGCTCCTTGGGTACGGTGGGCCAAACCACCCTCCCTTTCAGGTTGTTTCTCGAACCTCAACATTTTTCTTTTCAGGTAACTCACTCCACCTTTTCGGCAGAATGGTACAGAGATTACACCTGTCGGTTCTGCACATTCAAGAGCCAAACAGCGTTTGTACTGGGGATTTCTGGACAAGGACTGACGGCACGTCTTTGCCCCGGCTCTGGCCCTGCTCCCCAAGCACAGAAGAGGAAGAGGAGGAGGAAGGAGACAGGTTACCAATGACCCGGTGGTTGAAGTAGTCGGGCAGCATCCGCTCACACACAGCAACGAGCAACCAGAAGGCCTCCTCCTCCTTGGCGTAGAGCAGCAAAACGGAGGTCAGGATGTTCATGGACTGCACAGTTTCACAGAGGAGGGGTTGGTTAGCATCACACCACGTTGTGCCACAAAAGACATAAAAAACCACACAAGCCCAAAGGGTCCACAGAAGTCAAGGCTGCAGATGAGATACCGCATCTAGCCCAACCACAGACATTTGTAAAGTGGAATGACTGAGTTTATCAACACGGTCCCCACAAGACACCCTAGGCTGAGCGACCAGCCACCCTTCCGTCACTGTCCCCATCTCGGAATGCTGGGGCCAGCTGTGGTGCGGGCTTCAGGCTCAGGTCAAATCCAGCTATTCTGTGTGTATGTTCACACACACACACACACACACACACACACACACACCATTCATGGGTTGATTTTGCTTTTCACAGGAAAACAAAGTTTAAACTCTTCTATTTTCAGCTATCAGAAACTTCTCTAACCCCATCTAGTGCTGGGGTGGGGGCAGGGGTGTTTTATTTTACCGAGTTCTATTTTGTGCTTGTTTACCACATCCCTGAATACACTTTCCACGTAAACTCAACAACTACTTAGAGGGCGGCTTATTTCCACTTGTGCTTCCTGAAGGAAAGGGATTGGCCGCAAACAACTTTTTCTCCCCCAATAGCACGGAGATTTTAAAAATAATCCCTGTAACTTCTGCAGAGGTCTAGAAAGATAAAGCTCCACAGAAGCGTTATCACTGCCGTCCTACAGTGGAGGCCTGGAGAGGCGGTGAAGACAATCTGTCCTGTCCTGGACAGCAACTCATCATGTGCACTGCTCTTTTCAGGCACCACATAAAGTTTCTAATCTTAAGTCATCAACCTGTTTGACTATAAGGAGATGATTCCTGAGGCCTTACTTGATACATTCTTTAAAGAAAGCGAAAGCACAGAGCCTTCATAGGACAGTCCTGGGTACCAGACAGCCAAGAACAACAGAACCCGAAGCCTGGGTAATCAACACAAGACACGGACTCAAAGATTTCTGCTCCTCCACTGCACACCCTACCTGGCAGTACCCAATTTTGGGGTTCCGGTGGGCATAGGCTGTCAAGACTCTCCTTAAAGCAGCAATTCCTGTTTCATTCTGGAAGGCGGGATGCTCTGGTAAGGAACGGTGCAGGTCCCGCTCTATCTCCTCAGTCACCAGGCAACATTTTCCCATGGACTCCTCCACCAGATTACCATAGTAACCCGGATGCGAGGCGAGATCGGTTACAGCATCTGATGATTTAAAAGGAATTTTTCAAGGGGGGGCAGTTTGCCAGGACAGAGTCAACCTGGGGAGGGGGCTTGTCCTGCTGGAAGACCTCAATGGGTCTTCCAGAAAATATCTTGAGACAGAAAATATCTTGAGACCACACACAAACCAAAAGGACTTTCATTCTGCCAAAAATGAGAAAAGAAAGAAAAAAATGAAACAACATGGCTTTTCTAAGAATAACCTTATAGGGAGGGAAATAGCTCATACCAGAAACAGCTGTATTAATATGCTTTTCGTAAGTTGTTTTCTCTAGTAAAATGAAGACTGGATAGATGTGTGTATCTATACATACAGACGTACACACAATTTTCATACATTAACTCAACACGAAATTACTGAGCACATATGTGTGAAACACACAAGAAGGTGCGCTTCTGTTTAGCAATCAATTATCAAGGAGTCAACAAGCTGCAACAAGAAATTCAGGAGCTTTGCAACAACGTGGATGTAACTAGAGGGTATTATGCTAAGCGAAATAAGTCAATCAGAAATAATTACCATATGATCTCTCTGATATGAGGAATTTGAGAGGCAGGGTGGGGGGTCGTGGAGGTGGGTAGGAAGGGAAAAAATGAAACAAGATAGGATTGGGGAGGGAGACAACCATAAGTGACTCTTAATCTCAGGAAACAAACTGAGGGTTGCAGGGGGGGGTGGCGGTGGGAGGGATAGGGTGGTTGGGTGACAGACATTGGGGAGAGTATGTGCTATGGTGAGTGTTGGGAATTGTGTAAGCCTGATGATTCACAGACCTGTACCCCTGAAACAAATAACACATTATATGTTAATTAAAAAAAAAAATTCAGAGGCTGGGCTCATGACAGGCAGGGCGACCCCGCCCAGTCCACCCACCACCAAGCTCCTCCCAGGCCTCTGACAGGGAGGGGACTTCAGGGGTGAGGCGTCCACAGTGCATGAGGATCCCATTCCGTCATCAGCCAGCACCCAAGCACCTGTGGTCCTGGCCAGTGGTCCCGCAGGGGCACGGGTAGCAGGCGGGATTCCAGGACAGAGGCTGGCCCCATGCAGGGAGGTCCCGGGAGAACAGGGCAAGAAGAAGGGGCCCAGTTCCACCTTTAATCGCCAGTTTAGGTTTTTAAATTCCAATTGGGTTTAGTGTACTGCCCTCCCCGACTCAACCTTCTGCTGACCGTGATTCCCCATCACCCCCCACACTCACTCACTACAAAATTCCCCTGTACTCAACACTTAACACTAACAGCTGCCACTCGACCTGCAGCAGCCTAAACCCCGCAGCAGTCTTTCCGTCAACACTACCACTTGGAAGGAAAGATAGCTCTTGAGGAGCTAGGTTTGTTTTTTTATTGCAACGTGTGTGTGTTCATTAAAGAGGAAGGCTCTATGCCTGTGGCATCAACAGGTATCACCTGTAGGTGGTTAAGCTGAATCGTGTGATTTTCTTTCATTCCTATTTTCCTTTCAATTCCGAAATTGTTTTCATTCAATATAAAAATAAAGAAGACATTTTTAATTTCTAAAAGGCCTGTCTTGATGAAGAAAGCAGCCAAAAGGGACTCCGCAGGTGAAACAAGGTGAGCAGTGATAGACCCATCAATGAATCCCAAGTGAGCACATGCCAGCAATTGTGCTGGAAAGCAAAAAAAAGCACCCTGGGCCAGAGAGGGGATGGGCTTGGCTCTTCAGGGGAGAGACTGAGAAGAGGGAAGAGAGATGAGTGGGGTGAAGATCCAGTATGAAGCCACAGGAGGGAGGAACGTAAGAAGGTGCAGGGAGGGGGCACTTGGGTGACTCAGTCGGTTAAGCATCTGACTCTTGATTTCAGCTCAGGTCATGATCTCAGGGTCTTGGGATCAAGCCCCACATTGGGCTCTGCACTCAATGTGGAGTCTGCTTGTCCCTCTCCTTCCCCCTGCTTGTTCTCTCTCTTTCTCTCTCAAATAGATAAATAAAAACTTTTTTTAAAAATTTGAAAAATCAAAAAAAAAAAAAAGGTGCAGGGAGAAGACAGGTACCCAGGCCTGGCCTCCAGGAGACTCGTGCTGATCTGAGCACAGCAGTGTCACCGAGGAAGAACAGACCTCCTCCCCGGGCCTCCGGCTGCACCCTGGCAATAGGGGCATTCCCTTCCTCCCATACCACTGGACAACAGCGGCCTTCCCTTCCTGCCTACAAGGCCCCACCGCTCCTACTGAGCCAGACAAAACGGCCACCTGCAATGCAGAGACATTGCTCAGCACATCTCGAGAGAAGGCGGTCCCCATCTCTGCCCACTCGCTGGTGAGGGTCCTGAGGAGGGATTCCCAGACATCACCCAACAGCAGCAGAGGGAGAGTCTGAGGGCCTGAGGCCAGACAAGGTCATCATGGGATGGCCCAGGCAATTCCTAGGAGGAGGAAGTAGGGCCGAAATCTCCGCAATGGTGTCTCCTGGGGATGCCGTGTGTCTTCCATGGAGGAGGGACTGACAAAGTATGCTGGGGGATGTATTTCAATGTCACTGCAAGTGAACAATGTACAGAGGGTTGGTTTGTTTAGTCTAATAATTATTTATTTGACAGAGAAATCACAAGTAAGCAGAGAGGCTGGAGCTGGCAGAGGAGGGGGTATGGGGGAAGCAGGCTCCCTGCTGAGCAGAGACCCCCCCCCCAATATGGGGCTTGATCCCAGGACTCTGAGATTATGACCTGAGCTGAAGGCAGAGGCTTAACCCACGGAGCCACCCAGGCACCCTGTTTGTTTAGTCTAGTTCAGAATATATGTCCTAGAAAGACACTTCACTTCTAGGAAGTCCTTTACAGTTCTCGAGACAATCTACAGACTCAAAAGTTATTTTTTTAAAGGAGAGGCGATCCCTTCAGCTAGACCTCACATTGGCCAAGGAAGACACCGCAGCCGAGAGGTCTCAGGCAGCTGGACCAAGGTCCCACAGCTAACACAGTAAGGGTGCCGAAGTTCTTGGCTGGGAACGTCGTAGGAAAAATCCAGAGACAGAGGTCCTATCTGCACATACATGCTGTTCAGATCTGGGCCTCTGCTCCAGAAATATCACTTAGCCTCAAAACACCAGAAACACTTACCTGAGAAAAGCAGCCAGAGTTTGCCACGTAACGATTCAGGGATCCCCATGGCTACAAGTTTCCGGATCTTCTCTGTGCGGAACATACACACGGTTCTACCATATTCCACGAAGTGGTCGTTCCACAGGCTTATTTTTATCTGCTCCCTGGACTGGAGATGGAAATGCTGTTAATGTACAAAGAAGTCCCTCCATGCCTTCCAGCACAGACCATCCACAACCCACTGCAGAGGGAGGCTGCCACTGTTACCAGAGGGACCAAGAGTGACAGGCAACTGGTTCAGCAAATGTTTTGAAACACTTGCAGGCACAGAGGACGTAAAGATGACTAACGCAGAGAACCAGGCCTTCTGGAGCTCAGAGCCCAGCAGGAGCGTTTACACAAATAAAATGCCATTTCCTTGGCAAAGTAGATAGTAAGAGTAGGTATGTCCAAGTACTCAAGTCCAGAGCATCTGGGAAGGCAGGGTGGGAGTGGGGGACATGAAGGGAAGCTTCTCAGGATGCTGACACCAACCCAGCTGTTGAAACATGGGTCAGCTCAGAGGGTGAACAAAAGCAAGGGGGCAGTGCGGGGTGGGGGGGTCATAACTTGCCCTTATCTCCAGGGCAGCCAGAGGAAAAACTGAAACCTGAAAAAAATCCCACTGTTCTCATTATCAGACACAAGACCGATACCATTTCTCTAGGCAACTAAAAATCCTTTAAAATTATCCCTAGATGATAGGAGTCATTAGTACCTTTTAAGCAACTTGTTTAATATGCTTTTCATTGTCTGCATTCTCTAGTAAGGAGAGAAGCTTCCATATATATTCAATATTCTTACAGCTTTAGTCGGGAGTTCATTGAGCCACTGGGCAACAAGACACAGTTTGGGGTAGTAATGTCCACAGACACCCCCAGCACACGTGGTCCCAACGCAGCCTCCCTCCGGCCACCATGTCTTTTCACGGTACAATTTCTAGCCTCTTTACCCCACTGGGCATGACATTTCCCTCAGGTTCTCCCTACAAAGAGGACAAGGATAAGGAGATGTAACAGAAATATCTTTTGTCCAGTAAAACTACAGCATAACTACAGCATAGGAGACCTTTTGTTTCAGGAGAGAACAAGCGATACTGTAAAAGGAGCCCATACAGACACCCCTGGGTAAGAGCAGAAATGCCTGTTCTGCACCTGCAAGATCCCACGAAGGACAGCATTGAAGGCTCTCCAGGTCAAACATGGCCAAGGGCTGTGTCAAAGAGCCACTTAAGGAGCAGGCAGGGAAAGCCATCACCCTCGGTCCTCTGACCACATCCTCCATGCACCCAGATGTGCCCAGGCAACTGGCACGGGCTGAGCCCTTCCACCTGTCCGGGCGGGAGAGGGAGGGGCGCCAGCTCCTGGGGCAGCCAGCAACCGGCACCACATCTGCTCCCCCAAGGCCTGCAGGGCTGGGGTTGGCAGATGCACCTGGGAACCCCCACTCGTGCCAGCTCCGCTGGGCCCTGCAAAGGCAGAGCCAGGTCACCCACCATTCTCGAGTCTGGGCTCTGGCTGCCCGCCTGCTGGAAGACAGAGATCAGGGCCTCGGGGTGGAGCCGTGGGCTCTTCTCTTTGTCACTTTCCTCGCTATTTTGAGAGGACACCATTTCAAGATCCCCAAACTTGTGGTCACTGCACATGCTTGTTGAATGAAATACAGGTGAAGTCTGCTGGAAAGGAGAAAAAAAAAAAAGGGAGCTAGAAGAAAGTCATTACTGTACTTACGGAAGAGTCTTTGTTTTGCCTTTGGAGACATGAAGGTAACATATTTTTTTAATTAATTAATTATTTGAGAGAGAGACAGTGCATGTGAGCCAGCAGGGGAGGGGGAAAGGGAGAGAGAGAATCTCAAGCAGACTCCCCGCTGAGTGTGGAGCCGGACAAGGGACCAGACCCTGAGACTGTGACCTGAGCTGAGATCAAGAGTCCAGCACTTAACTGACTGAGCCACCCAGGCGCCCCAAAGGTAACATACTTAAACATGCCTATGTAGGTCTCAAGGGAAAGAGACTAACATTAGCCCAACAGAGTTGATCCTCGGGAAAGAATATGGTCCACACTGTGCTTTCCTGGGAAGGCTGCTCACAGCATACAGAGCATGGGGCCAAGAGGGGGCAGACAAGCACCATTTCTTGTATGCTTCCAGAACGGAGAATGACCACCTTCAGAAAGCAGCTCTTGGGTACTGAGGGAATATCTCCTTTCCTCCCTGTCACTGTGTGGGTAAAAAGAGGTGAAGAAAAAGAGGGACGGGTGTGAAACAGCAGGAGAGGAGGTCCCAGTGGATCCACATCTGTTTTCCAGCTGTCTGGCCTTAAGAACAATGTAACTTCTCTTTTAACAAGTTCCACCTGCCCCCAAATAACATCCCCTCAGCCTCAGGGGTGGGGGGCACTGACCCCTCCAACCTGTGAGGAGGGTGTCCACTAACCTGCAGGTCGATACCCCATCAAACCCTCCAACCTGGGAGGGGTGCCCTGTAAATCCCTCTAACTTGTGTGGATACCCTATGAACTGCTCTAATATAGGGAGGGGTGCCCATCAACTCCCCTAACCTCAAAAGGGGTGCCCTGCAGACCCCTCTAACCTGTGAGCAGGGTGCCCTGTTGGTCCCTCGAACCACTTGCTGCGTGGGGCACCCTCTAACCTATGCAGCACCCATTCAGGACCCTGCACGTACCAAAAGTGATACGCTGTCTGATACACAAGCCCAATCAGCCCTAACACAACGTTCTCGTTCTCAAGTAGATCGTGGCCATGTGTACTCCCTTCTGAGACCACTGCCCTAGAAGTGGTCAGAAAGACCTTCCCTGGATAGGATCCCGCTGTTTCTAAGCCTCATACCATGTCTTCATCTTGGGAGGTGTCGTAATGCACGGGGCGGTTGGCGTGCACCTGCTTCAGCCTCACCAGCAGGCCCTCCACCAAGCTCTCTCTGTCCTTCAGCTCGATGAACTGGAAGGCCATCTTGCTCCGGATGCTGATGATAATGGGATTAGGGAGCAGACTGGTATCCTCCATCTTCTCAATGCTCACCACCTATCGCAAAAAGTTACCCATGAAAGGTATGGCAACAGACAAAGGAGGGCAGGCATTTCGACTATCTATTTAGGTGTCACCAGACAGAAGGCCAAACCAAACAACGGCCCTAAGGAATGGATGCAGAAGGTAAAAATTACCTAAGGCAGCACAGTCATGACAGCCGAAAGGGGAAAGCAACTCCAGTACCCATTAACAGGAGAACGGAGAAACAAAAATGTGATCTATTGACACAACTGAATATTATACAGCCTTAAAAAGGAGAGAAATTCTGGCACGTGCTACAGCATGGGCGAACCCAGAGGACATTATGCTCAGTGAAATAAGCCAGGCACACATGGGCTAATGTTATAGGATCCCACTTAGATGACGGACCTCGAGTAGTACCAGTCAGAGACAGAAAGTAGAGCAGTGGTTGCCCAGGGCTGGAGAGGAAGGATGGGGAGTGAGCGCCTAATGAGGACAGAGTTTCTGATGGTGAAGATGAAGTTCTGGTGATGGTGGGACGATACCGTGAATGTACTTAATGCCACTGAACCCTAACACCTAAAAGTGGGTCAAGTGGTAAATGTGATGTTATGTATATGCTACAACAAGATGACAAATAAATGTATAAGACAACTCTTGGTCTTCTTGCTTCACTCCTAAGTAAGAATATTTGTAAAATGAAAGCATTTACAAAATGACATGGAAGGAGGTCACATGGATAAAAAATTGAGTTTTCCCAAACAACTGTGCTCAGAATTTGGAGGTCCTGATGGAAACAGAGTGGTGGGTACAGTCACCACAGACGTGTCCTGAAACCAAAGGACTGAGCTCTTCAGATCTGGAAGTAGCCTCAGGCTGCCCTGAATTTCCAGGGACAGACTGCAGACTTTTAAAGTACAAAGGGACCTGATCCATATTAAAGGAAACATTTTTAAGTGTTTCACTCAAGTCCCAGGAGGGCACAAGAGCCAAGCAATCAGATGTTTTCAAGGTGATGTTTTTTGTCAGTTGCCTCTTCTCTTTCCCCTTTCTGTGAGTACAAGGGGTAGAATCCTTCCTAAGAGCTGACAGAAAAGCTTTAACTGTGAGGCAGGGCCTTTCTCTGAACAGCATCAACACTAATGCAGAGGTGAGGGCGCGTGCTTCTCGCCAATCACTGCCAGGCAAATTTCAGGGTGTTGGAGGAATGACAGAAAAAGCAACAACCACATGGGGACTGGTCAAATGCAGGCCGTGCTTCCCTCCAGAGGCCCATCTGCAGTGGGCAAAACCCTGCTGGATGAGCAGCCCTGCCCGGCCAGTCTCATGGCCACCACAGGCTCAAGGACAGAAGGCGGGCTCGGGAAGCGCTGGCCAGGGCTGCCCCTACCTCTCTGAGTGGGAGGATGACATTGCAGCAGCCGTCCTCCTTGCTGGCGAAGCAGACGTAACGGTCGGAGGCGAACATACGTCCCACAGTGTGACAGCGGCTGAACGGTGTCCACAGCGAGCAGTCCACAACAGCGTGCAGCCTCTCCTGCCTCGGCAGCCTGAAGAACGCCCGGAAGAACTCGTTCTGTGCTCTGGCTTCCAGGTCCCTGGCAGAGGAGGGAGAGAGGAGAAAAAGAGGCAGGGACAGTGAACGAACACACGGGTTTACAAAGGAAAACCCTGCGAAGCCAACTGGGGCTCCGGACATGGAAGTGGATGAGATCCCCCCCACCAGGTCCCGCATGGGTCACAGCTCATGCCCCACTTTACAGCCAACCTTGGAAACAGGTCCTCAAGGCAGGAGGGGTTGCCTCTGCACAAAAGTAAAACACCAAACTCACAGTTCAAAACAGACTCCCCTCCTGATTTGAGCAATACTGTGAGTCACCACAGTGATACTTAAACAAATGTTTAAGAATCCAGTATCAAAAAGTCAGTAACACCAAGTGCTGGCAAGGACGTGGAGAAATAGAACCCTTCATACCCCGTGGGCAGGCATGTAAAATGGTGCAGCCAGTCTGTAAAACTTTATGGCTGTTTCTCCAAAAGATTCAACACGGACTTACCATACGACCCTGAAATTCCCCTCCTAGGCATAGACCCCAGCAAATCGAAAATGTACATCTGCTCCAAACCCTGGACACACCTGCTCAGAGAGGCAGAGCTGGCAACAAGCCTAACGTCCATCAGCTAACAAACGGATCAACAAAATGTGACAGAGCCGTATAACAGAAGGTCACTTGGCCACACAGAGCAACGAAATACTGACACAAGCTACAACGTGGATGGACCTCGAAAACACTACACACACAAAAGACTACATACTGCCTGAGTCCCTTTAGATGAAATTTCCAGAATAGGCAAAACTCATCAAGAGAGAAAAGAGCAGGGCGCCTGGGTGGTTCAGTGGGTTAAGCCTCTGCCTTCAGCTCAGGTCATGATCTCAGGGTCCTGGGATCAAGCCCCACATCAGGCTCTCTGCTCAGCGGGGAGCCTGCTTTCCCACCCCTCTCTTTCTCTGCCTCTCTGCCTACTTGTGATCTCTATCAATAAATAAATAAAATCTTTAAAAAGAGAGAGAGAAAAGAGCTTAGTGATTCCAAAGAGGAAGGGATAAAGGGAGAAGTGGTGAGTGGCTGCTCATGAGTATGGGGTTCCTTCTTGGGGTGAAGAAAATGTTCTACACTGAGTGTGGGGATGGCTGCACAACTCTGACTGGACTGAGAAACCACTGACTGGGAAACTTTAACACGGTGAATTGTACAGTATCTGCTCCAAAAAGCAGTTCAACTGAGATCTGTGCTTGACATACAGTAAGTGCCAAATAAACATTAGCTATTATTACCTTTAGAAAACAAATCCAAGCAGTGGCTGGCTGGCTCAGCCTGCTGAGCATCTGACTCTTGATTTCAGCTCAGGTCATGATCTCAGGGTAATGAGATCAAGCCCCAAGTCAGGCTCTGCACAGGGCGTGGAGCCTGCTTAAGATTCTCTCTCTCCCTCTCCCTCTGCCCCTCCCCCAGTTCTCTCTCTCTCAAAAATAAACAAAAAAATTAATTAATAAAATAGATCCAAGTCAAAGTATCACTGGGGAGAACTCCATCAGTGTCACATCAGTATGGACAGTGGACAATGGGGAAAAAATCCTACCCCAGGGGACTCCCCCATACCCTGAGTCTTGGCTCTAATATCCAGTAAAGCAAGAAGGCAGCCAACTCACAATGTTTGCAAATACTAATGAATTTATGTCCCACCCCAAAATTCTAGTAGAGGGGAAATTCCACTGTACAGAGATAAAAATTTTTCTTTGCCACATCAAATAAGAGTTCTTTAAATTCATCTGAGAGAATTTGAACTCTTAGCTTTCTTATCAGTTGGGTGACCTTAGATAACAATTCTCTGTATCACATCTTGACATCTATAAAATGGGAACAAAATACGTAACCTTTCTGCTTCAAGGGATCCCTAAAAACATAAGAGGATGGCCACAATATTGAAAAAGCAGATTAGAAATAGCATCTACAGTATGATTCCATTTATATGAATACTATAAAATTTGCAGAAAATGATGTATAAAGACTTTGTATAAATGTTAATTGTTATTGACTCTGTGTAGTAGGATTTCCACTTTTCATTTTTATTCTGCTTAAATTTCCTACCTGACCATGTATTGTTAACTTTTTTAAAAATGAAGCTATTTTCTTTCAGGAAAAGATTAACTTTTAAAATGTTCCCTAATGCAAGGTATTAAATGCCACAGCCTGAGTGATCTTTCAGACACATTCCCCCCCAGCCCAGCAGGGCCAGGGCCAGAACTCACACACAGAGGCCCCTTCTGTGCCAGGTCTCATTCCCATCCCAGTCCTCATTTTCACACCATCACACAACCATCTTCCCAGGAGACCCCACACGGAGATGGGAGAGTGCTTGGAATTTACTGTTTACTAATTTACTATCAAACCCTCACAAAGAGAGATACATGCATGCCCAGAAGGTCTTCTGGGCACAGCAAGAAATTATACAAATTCTACAGATCAAGATGGTCCAGTTCCTGGGGGAAAGCTGCCGTCCCTTAACACGCAGCACCCGATACTCCATGGATGGCAATTTCAAAGGAGCCTGTGCTTCGCCCCAGAGGAACTGGGAAAACGTGGGAAAGCACCGTGAATGGCTCTAGAAATTCACGTACTATGGGGTGGAAGGCAAGACCCCTCAATATCACCCCAGTTCTCTGAAAGCCGACCTACATTCAGCACATTTACGTTGGAAGATTTATATCCTTGTCCTCAAAGTATGCTAGCCATGCTGGCTTTGGTGAAAGTAAAGCCAATGCAAACTTCCTGTAGGCATCTCACAGGTACGGGTCCAGCCACCACTAAATTCACCTGTTGTCTGTTCCTTCCTAGAAGCATGGTGGTGGGGGCTTTGGGGGGTACTTTTGGTATTTTACCTTGCAGCCAGCTCTTCAATTTAAGACTAAGGCGCTCGGTTTTCTGATTTTTCTATTCAGTGCACCTGCTGCACCAGCCAACTGCTCAGTTCAATCCCCTTCCCCATGGCTTCTGAGCAGCCTGGGTGTACGACACATCACCTCCACTCTGCTTTCTGGGCTGTTCTCTGTCACCATAGGAGTTTGTCTCTCACACATTCAGCGGCCACAGACCAGTGACCTCGCATTATAAGAGAGAAAGGAGGGGGGCACCTGGGTGGCTCAGTCATTTAAGGTGTTGACTCTCAGTTTCAGCTCAGGCCATGATCTCAGGGTCCTGGGATCGGGCTCCTTGTTGGGGTCCACACTCAGCAGGGATACTGCTTCAGGATTCTATCTTCCCTCTGCCCCTCCCTCTGCATGCCTGCACCCTCTCAAATAAATATCTTTAGAAAGAAAGAAAGAAAGAAAGAAAGAAAGAAAGAAAGAAAGAAAGCAAGCAAGCAAGCAAGCAGCAGGAAGGACTTTCCTAAATCCTCTTCCTTCCTTAGAAAGTCCTCTTCCAATTCCACCTCTAAATACGCATTCTATGTATACATGTGACATTGAACTTTCTGACAGGTGGAGATGAAGATCCAGTAGCTGAAGACGAGTAGCTCAAGCCCTTTATGAAGCTCAGAGTAAGACCACTTCATCCTTTTGGTCTGTTTCAAAGCAGGTGGTACTTTTGATGCTTAAAAATATCCACTCCTCTTTCCGAAGAACACCAGAAACAAAGCCCACTGGTCAAAATTTGCCTTTGAGACCTTCCAGTACCTACTAAATGCTCCCCCTCTTCCTCCGTAGAGATGCCCAACACACAAGAGTCGTAACTGACCATTCAGAAAGCAGTAGCCAAGCACAGGCCTGTAAGCCAGGGCAGAAGCACCTCTAAAAAGATGGAAACTAGCCCAGCAGCCCCCACAGTATTTACCCCCAGTGTCCACCTTGCTGGTATGCACTGGCCAAAGCAATCGCTCCAAGAGAAAGCGGTAGCTGAGACTAGAAGGGACGGTGCCACAGACCCTCCTGTCTGAACACATGCCCTTGTATGAGCCTATAGCCACGTGGGAAATAAATGTGGGTTTATCAGAATATGGAGCAAGAACACCAAGTTTGCTCGTGGAGCTACAATGACATGACCATTCCTGCACGACAACAACACGGCAATTCTGAATTACATGCCCACACTCAAAACTCCACACTTCATTCACTAGAACTTAGACCCAAGAAATGAAGGGGTGGGTCCTTCTTTTGTTTTTCTGTGAACCTAGAATTCGATTTTTCTCCTCTTTAGTTTTGGTACAAATGTACCAAAAACAGGGTTCCCCTGTCTCTTTTCCCCATCAACCTGTTAGAACGCTTTAGGGAAGACCCATGTCAGGCCTCATGTGCCATGGTTAACTCTCCCTCCCTCGTGTCATTCATCCCACAGACACAAACCTACTGTTTGTCAGGAGCTCGAGGGAGCTCAAGACAAAATGCTTCCCCAAACTCAGGCTCTGTGGCAGCTGGGTCAGGGGGCTCCCGCGTTAGCTCCCAGTGTGAGGATGTCCCCGCTGTGCCCTTGACAGGAGACCTCAAGTACTATCCCTGCCCTTCTGGAATAACTTGGTCCTCTGCCAGCAGTTTGCCCCATAAAACCGTACAAAGATTTCTAGAGGCTCTTCGTGACACACCCACCCACAGACCCACGCCCAACTCATTTGAAACTCTGGGCAAGAGCCAGCAATGAGGAAGCACGGCAGCACCACCGCATACGCATACTTCTCCTCAAAGCCCAAGTCTGCACAGAAAACATGGCTCTCTCGAATGTGTGTTGACTTGAAACACCTCTCCCCTACTCTCTCCCAAGAGCACCAAGGAAAGAGAAGGACAACCTTGCCGTGATGTACCTTACACAGCGCACACAGCCGCCTGGGTCTCCTGGGCCCGGAGGGGGCATGAGGGAAACCCAGGCCTCAGAAAACAGGGAACAGGGTGCACATCGACTCAGCTGGGGCCTGCAGTGCCCCCATTTCTTTGAAAGTACACCCTCGGAGCCCCAGCAGACCGAGGCATCAACAACACTGGCATCTAGGAGGCTTTTTCAAGCTCAACGCTCCTGCCTTTGCCCTCTGCCCTCCACCGTGCCCCAGAACAGCCTGGAGAAGTCCAGAGCAGCTAGGGCTCTGCAGGGTGGGGACCCGTAGGCCTTCCCCAGTGAGGCAGGAGCTGTTCGGGGCTGTACAAGGAGCCCCTAAGAGATGTCGACGCCAAACAGAATGACAAGGACAGAAAGCCCAATAAATTACATGGCTAGGATGGGCATTCTTAGATGCGTACAAGAACAGCAGGAAAGGGAGTAAACGTGGGCAGACAAGGCCAAAGAAGTTCTGAAAAGTCAGACCAGGGAGCCAGGCAATCAGCCAGGCAACAGGGATGAGGGCTTATTACTGAAGATGTCAGCCCCTCCCCATCCCTACACCCTCCCCCTCACCCCAGGCATCCCCCGCTGACCTTTAGATACCAGAAAGATCTTCCACTGGGGGAAACAGCCTCCATTCACTGCACTGCATTAACTATGTTTTTCTCCAGCACTTTCCAATCAGTCAATACAGATTTTAATGGTGATATTAAATTTGATTTGGTGAAACCCATCACCTTCCCAATCTCCCACCCCACAAAAGCTGGCTACACCGCTCTCAACCCATCACTCACAGCTTCACAAATGTTACTGTGTTGGTAAATTTCAGGACCAATCCATTTCTTTGCTCCCCACCCCAGGCCCCAAAGTCCCTTCCCCAGTCTCCGTTTTCCCGCCCTCCTGGATTCTGCTGCTATGCCCCAGAATCCCTGGTTCAGGTCCTCCTCTGCAAAGTGTGAGGGCTGGGCCAGAGGACTCCTGGGTCCAGCTGGCTCAAACTTGTCTGACGGGGTCCTGTTGTGCGATGCACCAGCCCATCCTCCCGGCTCCTGCTGGAGTCCCAGCTCCTCTGGGCACTTTCCCGAAGTCCCATGGGAGTGAGAGTGAGCAGCAATGGTGACTAATCGGCAATCAGATGGCTCACCACACTAGTGACCTCAAAGGTACCTTTCTTAAGCTGTTATCTGGGAAGGGAAGTGAAAATACATCAACAAAAGGGAGCCTGAGGAGCATTCCAGGACTTCTGATTGTGCCCTTTGCATCAAGAGACTGTTTTCCTCAACTTGAAAACCTGGGCTCTCTTGGCAGGATGTCAAGTAGACTGAGTCATTACCTGTTTATGTCCACAGGCCTATGTCTCCATGACAGAAAGCTACACATGAGACCCAGTGAGGAACTGGTACGCAAGGACATGCCTTTCACTTTTGGAAGAAGTCACTCAAAGTGCAGTGACCAGCAAAACATACTAGGGACCAGAATCCTGCCATCCATCTCAGGCCAACCCGAGGCACCTGCAGGGCCTTGTTTTGTCCTTTTCTCTCTCTTCCCCTCCCTGATCATTATTGGGATAGAAAGTGGAGGAGGGGGAGCCTCGTATAATTCACCTAAATTCTGGAATGTGCAGGAAGACTGCTTGTACTGATGAATTTTCTTCCAAAATGAATGATTTTGGGTGCCTGAGTGGCTCAGTTGGTTAAGTGACTGCCTTTGGCTCAGGTCATGAGTCCTGGGATCAAGTCTCGCATCTGGCTCCCAGCTCCATGGGGAGTCTGCTTCTCCCTCTGACCTTCTCCCCTCTCATGCTCTCTCTCACTCTCTCTCTCAAATAAATAAAATAAAATCTTTTAAAAAATTAATGATTTTACCACAGGGTCTTAAATGTGACAAATCAGCCATCTGCCTCTTCTTACCCAGTTTCTACCCAAAACCACAATGCTACATCTAGAAGTGGAGCCGTGAAGGACCATCAGGAGATCTATGAGAAATCACCCGAAACCCTAGTGCCCACAGAGCTGACCAGAGCACACAGGCCATCAGCCAGCCTCCGAGTGCTAAGACCCGGTGGAGGGTGGGGGGCGGCGGGGAGGCAGTTCACACATGTACACATCAATGCAAAACCTATAGAACAGATAGACACTTCACTGGGTGATTTATAGAAGCCCTTTAACAACTCCTCCAACTGAGACTTGTTTCTTCATTTTTAACCAATCTTTGTAAGCTGGACTAAAAGGACTCAGACACCAAATGGCTATAGAGATATTTGGAGATACATGGGAGAGAGCTGGGCTGTCTTCTCTGGACATAAGACAGAGCCAGAGACGGTAATGGGAAACCCGGGGTCCGGAAGCCCAGGGAGCAGCTCAGGGTGGGGAGTCAGAAGACCCAAGGGCAGCACCCCAAGGATCTCCTTTCATAAGAGAGTGACAAGCAGCAGCACTCTTCTCACAAAGGAAATGTCAGATGCTGAGGACACAAAACCAAGTGCGATCCATTGGAGTTTCACCAAAAAAGTTCACTTTTTGATTTCTGCCTTACTTGTGACGATACATGATCAATTTCTAACGCATGCACACATCAGGGGCTCTAAATTCGTCCTGAATACAGGCCGACTACAAACACACTGCCATTTAGAGACCTCGGGTTAGACACACGTTCTCCCAGATGTTCCAAGAAAATACCAAACATGTGTAAGGAATAACAGGAATGTTATAAGAGATTTAAAAATTCTTTTTAATGATGAGACACAGAATGACACAGAACTACCACGTGATCTCGCAATTCCACTTCTGGTTATATGCCCAAAACATGTAAAAGCAGGGAATCGAAAAGATATATGCACACATATGCTCACAGCAGCATCAACGTACAACAGCCAAGGGTAGAAATGGCTTTGTGTCCATCAATGCACGAACAGAGAAAGAAAATGTGGCATATCCACGCAATGGACAACTACCTAGCCTTAAAGAGGAAGGAAGTTCTGGCACCAGCTGCGACACAGATGAACCGTAAGGACATGACACTAAGTGAAATAAGCCAGCCACAAAAGACAAATACTGTATGATTCCACCTACATGAGGGACCTCGAGTAGTCAAACTCAGAAAGTAGAGTGGCAGTTGCCAGAGGTTGGGGGAGGAGGGGAACAAGAGTTATTGCTTAATGCGGACAGAGTTTCAGTTTTGCAAGATGAAGTGTCCCAGGACTGGATGGAGGGGAGGGTTGCATAATGTGAATTTATCCATTTTCAACTGCATGGTTCAGCGGTATTAAGGTAGCAAATTTTATATTGTGTGTATTTACCCACATTAAAACGTTTTTTTCACGTCTAGTAGTTCTAAATAGTAGTGGGATTCTCTAACGATATCAAATCTATCTAGCCACAACAGCACTTATTAGATGACTTGTTTCTCTAAGGGTATCTTTGTATAAACTCTGTAGTTACCTGGTCTAAACCACCAAGTCAGGAATCACAGTCAAGCTCAGCCGAACGCCACCATTTAAATTTTAGATAATGAAGCCAAACTTCTTTAAAATGACTAATAATTCAAGTAACTGCTCCAGATTTCTCCACACCTGGCATCAGTAGGGGCAAACCAATCATAAAGAATGTGAACTTAAGAGTATTACTGAGGCACATTTCTAATGACTAACTAGTACCAAAAATAAATCCATTGTCCTGAAAACTTTTTCTACAAAGCACTTTCAGGGATACCTGAGTGGCTCAGTCAGTTAAGTGCCTGCCTTTGGCTCAGGTCATGATCCCAGGGTCCTGAGATCGAGTCCCGCATCAGGCTTCCTGCTCTCTCTGCTTGTACTCTCTCTGACAAATAAATAAAAAAAAAAAAAAAGCACTTTCATATGGAAATATAAAATCTCTTAATGTTCGCTAATAAAGCACAGTGCTGAATGGAATTCTATCATGAAGCTATCCATATTATATTTACTTAGAAGTATTTTTTATAAAAATCAGTTTCCAAATATCTGGAAAAAAAGCAGAACTGGATCCAGAAATCAAAGTCAACTGCATTAAAAAAAAGAAAGAAACAACAACCAGGGTGCCTGGATGGCTCAGTTAGTTGAGCACATGACTCTTGGTTTCGGCTCAGGTCATGTCAGGGTCATGGGATCGAGTCCCAGGCTGCGCTCACGCTCAGTGCAGAGTCTGCTAGAGATTCTCTCCCTCTCCGCCTCCCCCTACTCCTCCAGCTTGCTCACTCTCTCTAAAATAAATAAAATCTTAAAAGAAAAAAAAACCTTCCCTATTAAAAAAAATAATCAACCACTGCTGCCAATTACTATGTCACAATCATGATCGACACCACAGGAAAATCTGCATCGAGCCACAAGGGACATTTAAATGGGTACAACTAAGACTAACAAAGCACATGTAAATGAATGTGGTGGCGCACCCACTCCATGGGTGAGGAACCGAAAACGGAAGCGCCTTACCGCTTGGTGATCTGGCTTGGCTCCTGCAGGTCTGGGTCCAGGTCAAAGACCTCGTTATCCAGCAGCCTCCGGAGTGTCACATCGGCCAGCTGCTCCATGATCTTGAACACCTCATCGAGGTTCAGGAACATGGAGAAGTCACGCTCCTTATTCTGCGTCGTGATTCGGATGGTGTCCGTCAGAAAGACGTTGGACGTTCTTTCCAACTTCTGGATATCGACCCAAGGGACTACAAGTTTAACTAGAAGAGGGAAAAAAAGGCAAATACGTAGGTTACCCTAACATGTGAGCCAAACTTGAGTGTACCAGCAAACAAGAGTCCAAGGATTTCCTTAAGCTGAAACGCAAAACCATGAAAGGGGAAGCACAAAACTGCTTGACAGCTGTGTGTTGGAACCCAACTCATGTTTCATGATTTTTCTTAAAAGATTGAAGTAAAATTTTCCAAGTTGTTGGCTACTGCACACAAACAGGGGACAGTGTTCTGAAAGATCAAGTTAACAACAGGAAAAGAAAACTTCAAAAATATTTAAACCTAAATATTTGCAAAATATCCAAAAACTTCTCCATCTACATAACTTCTCGTTTCAAAAGCAGCATTCATGGCGTAAGCTATGAAAAAAAAAGTGCAAAAGAGGATTACTCATGATCTCCTTTAGAGAAACAGGCTTAACATTTAGACTGTGTCAAATGACAGTCTTAGAAGACACACAATTTCTATGGAATTCTTTAAAGTAATAGAGTACAAACAGTACATTTTATAAACAAGTGTTCTGGGAAATGTTTCTAATACAGTGATGGCGAGGCTAGCTAGAGCTTACTAAAGCAAATAGAAAAAAGAGACACTGTAACAACTTTAAGTCATTTTAAATGTTATCAAATACTAGAAATCTTTTTTTTTTTTCCAAAACTTAGCATCCTAGCAAAATTTGACTTAGTCACCACGAATGATAGGTGTCAGAAACTAATTCATTTTCTTTTTCAGATCAAGGAGAACTTCAAGTGTTTCTCTTTCTACTGTTTTTTTCCACTTGTTGCAATAATGTTTTCAGGGTTTCAGTGACTTCGAAAGCCACACATTGACTTCAGGCTTGAGATGAAGCTTCTTCAGCTACTTCTAGGTGCTTTCACCTAAGTCTTTCATACAAATACATATACAATCGATAACATCAACTTTCATTTCATGAAGCATCTACTTTGTGAAAAGCCCTGCACTTAAGGAGTTCGTTCAAACAGGGAAAACAGACATGTAAAATAAGCAACCACTAACTTGACAGAATCTAAAGCAGAAACACAAACATGGTGCAAATTGTAAGGGGACCAGGGAAAGTTCCTGGAGGTGATAAAATTCTGAACTGAATTTGAAGGGTGAACTGGAGTTTCCAAAGAGGCACAAGAATGGGGAAGGGAAAGACCGGCATGAATTTTGAGAAGCACTGCACAAAGTACAAGAATAAGGATGGTCAAGATCAGGTCAGAGCACAGACCAAGGGTGGGGAAAGGTCATGCACACGTGGCGTTATGTACTGGAGGATCAGACCTGAAGCTGGCAGCATGAGAAAGAGAAGCGATGTCCCTGGGCAGGAAGCTGTGTCAGCACAATTTCCGAGAAGCCCCTCCCACTGGTTCAACTTGAAATATAAACTTAAATGCAGGAAGGGGAAAAAATGACATATATAAACACATACATACGCATATACTTGTTTTATATACACACACAGCTGCCATCCTGCCTGGATGCTTCAAACAGTATGTAGTTCCAAAAGAAGTTTCCGTGGGAATGACTTTTATAAAAATTCAATATACAACCAACACTCACGACTTTTCTTTCTTATCTTGGAATTCTATCACCTCGCATGGTAATAATGGTCAGTGCATCAAAGTGTGAAAAGTTCATCACTGCCTGAATCTCAAGTGGACCCAGGTGAAGAATTCCCTCCCATTCCAAGGAACAGCTATACATCCTGCTTCTTTTCCAGGAGCAGTCGTGACCTTCAGGGCTGGGAACTTTTTAAATGCCCTCCTCCCCCAATCAAGCACATTTAAGAAGCAACAACATGTTCCATTCCTTTAGAAGCATTGGGCTGTCAGTTTTGACAATGCGTTTTCAGAGCAACGTCAAGTAAAAAACCTTCAGTAGCTCTACAAAGAGAGCTTCACTGAAATGTTTAAGGCAATGAAAAAAATGAACTCTCACAAAACCAAAGCCCGTTAGTGGTGGTTGCATATGGAAATAAAATTGCACACACCATTTGAAGTTAATCAAGTATTGCTCATTACCATCTCAACTACTCATCTAAAAATCCTTCATGCTCTAGTCTTCCTCTCATCTCAGACCAGCACTGAGTTTCCCGAGGGTCCGCTTCCCCTGCGAACAGCAGAACGAGCCTCACTTACGTTCCTTGCCCAGGAAGAAGGAGTAGAAGCAGAGGTGGTTGATGCTCAGGTAGAGCCAGCCTTGGCGGGGGACCCTGCCCTTCCAGCAGCAGCAGGAGTAATAGGTGACAAGCTTCTCTGCCTCTGGGAAGTTGAACCTGGCCTCGAACTTCACCAAGGCCTCTCGGAACTTCTCAGGCTCCTCTTCCTGCTCGGCAAGCCTGCTGCTCGTCTCCTCCGCAATCAGAGCCTGACACACAGAAAGGTAAGGGACCCCTCGTCAGGGAAAGGGACAAAGGAAGAGGCAGGCAGAGGCGGGAAGGGACAGCCAAGCACAGGCCCCTGAGGAGTCTACACTGCCACCAACACACACACACACACACACACACACACCAGGGGTGGAGGAGAGTGGCACGCCACTCCGTCTACCACCCAAAAGCAGGGCCACGGTTGGCGGACTGATGAGCTGGGGGTGGGGGACAGAGAACCCAAGATAAGTCTCTCACTTGGCCACTAAACAGGCATGAGGCTTTGGGCAAATCACCAACTTCTAGGCCTGAGTTTCCTAACAAGTTACTATTGTGTGATACCTCCCGGCACTCCCTACAGGGACAGGATAATCGAATTACTGGCTCAAAAGTGAATCTGATGCATCAGCCCTGAAGAACTATCCAAATTTGAGTTACAAGTTAGTCTGTTTTTTTTTTTTTTTTAAGATCTGGGGCCCCTGGGTGGCTCGGTGAGTTAAAGCCTCTGCTTTCGGCTCAGGTCATGATCCCAGGGTCCTGGGATTGAGCCCCGCATCGGGCTCTCTGCCCAGCAAGGAGCCTGCTTTCCTTCCTCTCTCTCTGCCTACCTGTGATCTCTGTCAAATAAATTAAAAAAAAAAAAAAAAAGATCCTATTTATTGGGCACCTGGGTGGCTCAGTGGGTCAAGCCTCTGCCTTCGGCTCAGGTCATGATCTCAGGGTCCTGAGATCGAGTTCCGCATTGGGCTCGCTGCTTGGCAGGGAGCCTGCTTCCTCCTCTCTCTCTGCCTACTTGTGATGTCTCTCTGTCACATAAATACATAAAATCTTTAAAAAAAAAAGAGAGAGAGAGAGAGAGAGAGGAAAAGAGAGAGAGAGAGAACAAGAGCACAAGATGGGAGCAAGGCCTAAGGAGCAGGGCAGAGAGAGAAGAAGATTCCCTGCTAAGCAGGGAGCCTGACAATGTGGGGCTCGATCCCAGGACCCCAGGATCGTGACCTGAGCCAAAGGCAGGTGCCTAACCAAGGGAGCCACCTAGGCACCCCAAAATAAGATTTATGAAATGAATTTCAAGTCTGGTAAAATTTCAAGTGCTTCTCATTTCTTTCATTATATTTTTCTTCTTTTCCAAGTTTTATTTAACCAGACATCATTAAATAGAAAAATTATAAGAAAACAAATAACTTTAAAAGCATGTCTAACATAAAAAGCTCCAGACCACAAGGAGTGGAGGGGATTTTAGGAAGTAGAACGGGAGGCATGGGCTCCAGATGCAGCCATGACGATGGTGACCACACAGACCCTTGACTTCCGTGGACTGCAGGGTCTGGTGACAAGCACAACTCTAAGCACAGGGGTTTCTTTAAAGCTTGACAGAGCACCCAGCTGCTCAAGATACGAGTAGGAAAGCCCCAATTCTTGATTCCTTTGGATCTTCCCAGAGGAAAGGAAGAACCAACACCATACAGTGGCCCCACAGATATAACCCCATCTCAGACCACAAGAACCCCTCCACCCCCAGCCCCTGCTCCAGGCCAGCAGCCTCCCCGCAACTGTTGTTTTTCTTTCTTTCTTTCTTTCTTTTTTTAAAGGCATTTCAGTTTTGATCTGCAGGTGATTGGAATATGACATCCTAAACTGTGCCACTATGGCATAAGGACTATTCTGAGCTGAAGGCAACTGAGAAACGGCAGACACCAAAAAGGCTCTCCGCCTTTCCCCACTACTTGCCTAAAACAAGGACACCAAGACCCATTTGTGCAGATGCCTCTCTCTTCTGTGCTGGGAAGAAGAAGGTAACTCTAGACTCTGACCAGCACTGAGAGGAATGTGCATAGCCAACCTCACAAAAACAGCCCTTCTTCTCTTCCCTTCATTTCTCCCCACATTTACCTTCCCACAGCTGGCTACCCCTGAAAGCCTGAACGCCTCTCTCTTTGTCTTGTCCCTTCCCTATAAACATACTGTTCTTTGTTGAGATGCTGCATAAGCCCCACATTCTAACCACTCCTCTGAGTTACTCATCACTGAGTTTTCCTCATGTGTACGCACATCGCACACAGTGATCAACTGTTTTTCTCATCAGTTTGACTTTTGCCAGTTCAATCTCCAGGCCATAGGAGGAAAACCTAGGAGGCTAGAGGAAAAGCTGCTTCCTCCTCTGCAGAAGCTTTCCCAAAGACACTGCAGCAGAAATGAATTTCCTTCCTCCATATTAAAAGGAGAAACTCTAAATCAAAAAACCACCACAGCATACATTAGACAAAGGAGAAGGGAGGCAAGTGCGAAAAATAGCCATGGAAGAGGCATTTCTGTAGCTAAGCCCCAGTGGGTCCTGACCCAGGGAACCAAGCTAGTCAGTCGGACCAGGCAGAGATGGTAACCGACAGGCTGGATGAGTCCCCACCACAGCCTGGGTCCACCTGCCAACCCCTGAGGCTAGAGGTGACACCAAGAGGCCACCAGCCAACAAAGCCACACTGCCTGACTCAGGAGACCTTTGGTTCCTACCTGGGGACATCAGAGTCCTGGATACCCAAAGGAAAAGAATACTTCCGCTTTGTCCCTTTAAAACCGAGAATTCATTTTGGCACCCTTTACTAAAAGCTGAAGCACTTTTGAGGCAAACTTTTGAAAAAAATAAACAAAATCAATGGTCTGGGGGATTTTACCAACAGGGAGAAAAAGTGTATTATAGGCTAATGTGTTAAAGTGTTTAATAAAGGTTAAAATCGGAATGAGAAACAGTCTCACTCTGCCTGATGGGGCATTTAAAGCACCAGGTACCAATTATGTTGTTGCAATGACAGAGAAGATGGAACTCACAAGAGATATTCACAGATACCCTCCAAAAGAGTCCTGTCTTGCCCTCTCAAAACCTAATTGGTTTTAATTTCATTTAATTAACATAGTTGAAGAATAAACAGCCACTTTTGGGAAAAGGAAAGTGTCAGGTCCAACAAAATAGAATGAAAAGATGTCACAACTGCAAAAAGGTGGGAATAACGAGTTTAAGGAGTCAAGTAACATTTCTACTCTGCAAAAACATAAATGTTGGCATTTTTTTCTCCCTGAGACAAGAGAGGACCTTCCCTTCTGTAAAGGAGAACAAAAACTTAGGCCTGAGAGCGTGGATTTTCCGGTTTCATGTGTATTTTGCCAGACTGACCATGAAGTTTGACAAGTGACCAGTCCAGCTCCTCTGAATGTGTATAAAGCCAAGATGTTCAGTCATGGTGGAGAAAACTGTTCGAATCTGATAAAAAATGCTACAGTGCTCAAAATGTCATACGGAAGTTCTAAGATGGGGAATTGGGAAGAAGCATTTCAGTCAAAGGACCTACCTTTACCTTCCCCTTGACAAAGCTGGCAATGTCATCTTTATTATCAAAGACAGACAAAGTGTGCAGGAGATTCTGCTCCAGCCAGTCCCAATGCTGGTTTATTTCCTCTAATGTCGCACCTGGGTTAGAACATAAAAAGATACCGAAATTAAAAGTAACTCCTAGACCATGAACTCCTCTTCCAAATATTCCAAAACCTCTGTGGTTAAAACATCCTAGTTTCTCATACCCTGGGCCACAGCAGACAAGGAAGACACCCTCCTTTGAAGCCACCGTGTCCTTCGCCACAGCACTGGGATTTGCAAACACCCACCCACTGCTACATGGGTAGGCCAGGAACTGCATGTGGACGTCCTATCACCCTTGCTGATGCCTGGACTTCCCACCACATCTACTCAAGTGACGGAAACATTCATAATTACGCAGCTGTTCCAAGGGAAAACAAGCCCCCCCGAAGTGGGCCAATTCCGAACAGTCTCACATAGTTTACCATGTGAGGACAGGGATCCCTCAAGAGGGACCTCAGCCCAGGGTCACAGAAGAGAGAGCCTTCTGAGAAAGCTCTACTGCTTGCCCAAGGGTGTGGCCACTCGCAACAGGCATCATTAAATACAACAGCAACAACCTAGGGAACTTCCAGGTTTACCAAGCTGTACTTCATATCATTTACAACAATATCCCTTAAGAACATACATAAGAGATTATATACTAAATGTTTGAAACATACAACATTAAACCATATCTAGTAAGTTAATTTCTTTCCAAGGCAATTAAAAAGAAATCACCCCATTACTGAAGCATTAAGCAACACTGTTACCAAAAAGCTTAGTTATTTTAGTATTTCCCCTTGGGGAGACTCCTGCTACTCTCCATTAGACAATGGGCACCTTGGCACAGGGACTGTGCCAGCTCCTAGTGAAGGACCCAGCATACAACAAGTGCTCAAAAAAGTCCCCTGCCTTGAAGCAAGCCCAGGATGGACAAGAAAAGGGACGTGTGCATCAGGTGTGCATAGTATAGGAACAGATAAACGCCCAGCTAGGAGGACAAGATTTCCAAAATGTAAAGCAGGAGATATTCTAACCTCTAAGAGGTCAAGGGCTACCCAACACCAATGCAGAATAAGCTCGCCAATGTGAGAGGCATAGTGGTCAACAGAACCACATACCATACACACAAAAGTCAGACATGCATTTTTTTAAACACCAAACTTTTTGTATGCTATTTGCAGATTTCCTCCCTGCAGAGCATAGATGCATGGAGGGATAATCTAAAAAGCCTAGGGATAAACATGCCAGAGAAGAACTTACTGCAGACTTGTGCTTTTAGGATCAGTGAGTATAAAGAACATCTGTGTGGGGACCGATTTTCTGAATAGACAGTTTAGGAAGGAGTCATCAGAGCAATCCAAGAGAATTCTTCATAAGGAAAAGCTAGAGAGAGATCTGGTCTCTCTTCTTCTTCTTATAAGGAAACCCATCATGGGGCCCCACCCTCATGACTTTCTGTAAACCTAATTACATTCCCAGGCCCCACCTCTAAATACTACCACACTAGGGGCTAAGGCTTCAAGATATGAACATGGGGGAGGAAGATACCATTCAGTCCACACCAATCTACGCAGCTGTCCATCAATGCCACCCCTCCCCCCAACTCTTGCTCTTTAAGGATCAACAGACTGGTTGTGCAGTTTAGGAGAGCAAGCTGTGGGGGGGAGGGGGGCGTGGTCAGGATCATCTCACTCTCCTCCCCCTCCCACCCAGGAGGCCCTTGTGGTTGCTGGAAACCCCTGGCCCTTCAGGCTCCCCATTCCTCTTATAAGGGGGAAAGATCCTTTCAAAACACAAGTCAAACCAAGTTCTGTCAGGCTTCACAGCAGGATTCTCATGAAGTTTCTAAGCGTCATCTACCTGAACTCGAGCCCCTCACAGTCTGCTTGGTGCCTCACACTCAGTGCTCAGGTCTGCCCACCTCTGGCTTAAGTCTCTGCTGTTCAGTGTCTTCCAATGGCAACCATGTAGGTGTCAGTCACAAAAACACTTCCTATAACTGGGGGGTGGGGGCTCAACAATGGGGTCTTCCTAGTGGGGGGACAGCATATCGCACCATCTCAAGAGAGTCCTTGGGTCTTCACTAAAGCCAATAAACTTGCAAGGAGCCTTAGGGATGCCTGGACCTCTGCCCTTCTCTTCAAGGTTTACTCTTTCTAGATCTTTGTAATTTATTATCTATCGTAATAAAGCCAACTGGTCAGACTATTTAAGGCAAAGAATAAATGGGAAAAAAATTTTTGAGTATTTTTTTGAGTATGGGGTCATCAATCTTTGAGTATTTTTTTTTAAGATAGATTTATTTGAGGAGAGAAAGCATGTCAGCAGGGGATGGGGAGCAGCAGAGAGAGGGAGAGGGAGAACCGGAAGCAAACTTCCCACTGAGTATAGAGCCTCCAGAGGGCTGAATCCCAAGACCCCACAATCAAGACCATGACCTGAGCCAAAATCAAGAGTCGGATGCTCAAGTGACTGAGTCACCCAAGCGCCCCTTGAGTATGTTTTCATGACCTCCAAATTTATTTAAAAAACAAAACAAAACAAAACAAAAAAAAACAACCTTGGCAGAATGAGGAAGAACAAGAGAAGGGAGAACACTCACCTTTGTGACTTTTCTATTCCAAGGGCTAGCTCACTGCTGTGTAAGGAAAACTTATGAATGAGGAAATGGAGGCTCAAACACTTCTCCAAGGTCATATGCATTGAAGGAAAGGCAAAAGCAGGGTATGAACTCATTCTCTACAACCCTGAAGTACCCTGGCATCCTCCCATAATAAGTGGCATTTCAATTTCAAAATAACATTTACATGATTACATAATTTACATAATCCTTACGTCCATTACTCCTATGGTTTGACCCTAAAAAAAAAAAAATTATTTTGTGTTTGTACTTAGAGCAATTCCAATTTCCTGAGTGCATCTTTCTGGATGACATGAAACAGGTTTTCATCTATCCTATTAAGCGCATAGGGCAGCACAGTTCATTGTTAACAGCTAACCAAGCAGGTCATCCTCAGCTGATAACCACAGACACCATGATAAACACTATAAAGAAGCCCCAACACAGTCTATAACATGGAACGAAGACTTGAAATAAAGCCATCAAAATTTTAGGCTTCTATCCTTTAAAAGATTCTTCTACTTATGGGGAGGAGTTTATGTCAGGGAAAGGTAAATTCTAAAACAAAACCCCACCTACACCTTGAGAGAGAAAACAGGCACACAAATAAAAATCTGTCACTGGGCCACAGTTAGATTTCATCACAATCTACGCTGTTCCTGCATACAAGACATAGCTGTATGTCTCTCCCAGCCAAGACAATCAAGATGATGAAACTTTTCCAGCCTACTATCTTCCATTTCCTACAAAAGTTGCCAAATGGCAGGGAAATTTTCCAAACTATAATTTCCTCTGCAGGGAAGTCTTATGATAGGCTTCCAAAATACCGTAAATCAGTGCAAACCCTGCATGTCCTCGGCCCCAAAGGACTAAAAAGGAAAGTCACTCAACAGATCTCACAGACCAGAGTTTGAAACCTAAGCTGTAACCAAGTTTCCCAAATTACATGAAGTATCCCATCAGGAGACAGCTTTTTAACAAACAAAGTAGAAAAGAGAATACATGGCACTTTATAAGGCCAATCACTGACTTATAAAATATTTGTTAGAGTTAAGCACACACATAAATATTTTCTGTCTGTGGGTCATGCTCAAAAAACATCGGAAAGCCACCATATTACAGACGTACAAGTGGTGAGCAATGTAAAGAGAAAATAAGAACGTGAGAACATGTCACCCATTGAAGCGGTGGAATGATAAAAAGGCTACAAATTCACAGCATAGCAATACTCAGCGTTTCTGCTGTGGCCTTCCAAAACGAAGACAGAGGGCAGCTAGCTCATATGCTGAAGCTCTAACCCCCAATATGACCATATTTGGAGACAGGGCCTTGAACAAGTAATTAAGGTTAAGCAAGGTCATAAAGGTGGCATCTGGATCTGAGAGGACTAGTGCCCTCTTAAGAAGAGGAAATGGATGGGGCGCCTGGGTGGCTCAGTGGGTTGGGGCCTCTGCCTTCGGCTCGGGTCATGATCCCGGGATCCTGGGATCGAGCCCCGCGTCGGGCTCTCTGCTCGGCGGGGAGCCTGCTTCTCTCTCTCTCAGCCTGCCTCTCTGCCTGCTTGTGATCTCTCTCTGTGTCAGGTAAATGAATACAATCTTTAAAAAAAAAAAAAAAAATTAAAAAAAAAAAAAGAAGAGGAAATGGGCACCTGGGTGGCATAGTTGGTTAAGCATCTGACTCTTGGTTTCCTTGGCTTCAGCTCAGGTCATGGTCTCCGGGTGGTGAGATCAAATCCTGAGCTGGGGACTGTGCTCAGCATGGAGTCTGCTTAGAGTTTCTTTCCCTCTCCCTCTCCCTCTGCTCTTACCCCCAGTGCACGCTCTAAAAAATAAACTGAAGAAGAGAAGAGGAGGAGGAGGAAGAGACACCAGGAAGGCCCCAGGTGAGGATACAGGGAGAAGACGATCGTCTGCGAGACAAGGAGAGGAGCTTCAGGAGAAACCACCCTTGCCATCACCTGGATCATACACTTCCAGCCTCCAGAACAGGGAGCAAATCAGTGTTGATTTAAGCCACCCTGTCTGTGGTATTTTTGTTATGGCAGCTCTAGAAGGCCAACAGAGCCATTTAAAACCAAAATTTATAGGAACACTGTGGATTTTAACAGAAATCCAACTGGCAAAATTATACCCTGTTTTATTAAGGCAAAACAAGATTTCTATTGCTTCAGAAAAAGGCTTCTATTTCCTAAGAAAATCAAAGTTCAGAGGATCTTAAATATTATCCATACAAAAAGTCAAATCAGACTTGCAAATGCTTATGCAAAACTAAAACACCGTCCTAGATACTCCAATTAACCACACAACTACCAGGAATGGTAATTTCTAAATTACTAACTCTAAGGCAGAACAGGCAGAGGTAGTAGACACAGGCCATTTTTTGAATTCTTGGCATGTGTCCAGGCATTTTGTTAGATAGGTCATATATTTGATATTGTTTATCTTAA